GGTTTGAAGGGCGGGGCAGTTGTTGTACTGTTCAAACTGAGACCTTCGAACTCATTTCTGGAGGTGGGTGACGCCATTTACGTTGTAGATGTCTATGGGCTCCGGTAACCACTTAACAGCAGGCGGGCCGTGAGTTCGTCCACCCACCTAAGCAACAAAAATAAAAATAAGAATATAGGTACGTAAGTATTTAATTAAAAGAATCCAATATAAATTAATAAAATAAATTTATATTCGCATGTATTTATTCGTCATCAACAAATACTTTTTCCTTCTTCCCTTCCAAGCACTCTCGCGATCCTTCCACTAATATCCTTCCGATGCTCTTGACTAGTCTGACTCTGAATCTTGATACTTTAGTGTTGTCACCGTAATCTAGAGTATTCGTATTTCTCTCTATTTGATACTTGAATGTGTTCCACAGCATTTCTCTGGCTTTTAATAAATAATCTGCTTGACTGAAAAAAAAATGCGTTACCTGTGGTCAAAAGACAATTTTTTGATTTCAAAAGATTATTACAGTCATAATAATGAGGGTAGAGGTAGAGGGGGCGCCACCGTAGCAAATGGTGTAATTTTAAAGATACATTCAAGTAAAGACATTCCAGTAAAATAGTGAAAAAAAAAAGTAAAACTTCAGCTTTCATAAGGCGAAATAACTCACTCAAAATACTATAAACGGACATCAACATGGAATATTTTAAAACATAACATTATTTTCAAGTGCTAAATTATTCTATAGCGTCAAACCGAAAATAAGATAAATATTTTAAAAGGAATAAAATAATTCACGACAGAAATAGTCAGGGCGGTGTTACCACCACCCTGCCTATTTCTGCCGTGAAGCAGTAATGCGTTTCGGTTTGAAGGGTGGGGCAGCCGTTGTAACTATACATGAGACCTTAGAACTTGTATCTCAAGGTGGGTGGCGCATTTACGTTGTGGATGTCTATGGGCTCCAGTAACCACTTAACACCAGGTGGGCTGTGAGCTCGTCCACCGATCTAAGCAATAAAAAANCCTGCCTATTTCTGCCGTGAAGCAGTAATGCGTTTCGGTTTGAAGGGTGGGGCAGCCGTTGTAACTATACATGAGACCTTAGAACTTGTATCTCAAGGTGGGTGGCGCATTTACGTTGTGGATGTCTATGGGCTCCAGTAACCACTTAACACCAGGTGGGCTGTGAGCTCGTCCACCGATCTAAGCAATAAAAAAAAAAAAAAAAAAAAAAAAAAAAAAAAAAAAAAACCTACCCGCGCGGACTCACAAGAGGTCCTACCACCAGTAATTACGCAAATTATAATTTTTGCGGGTTTGATTTTTATTACACGATGTTATTCCTTCACCGTGGAAGTCAATCGTGAACATTTGTTGAGTACGTATTTCATTAGAGAAATTGGTACCCGCCTGGGATTCGAACACCGGTGCATCGCTCAACACGAGTGCACCGGACGTCTTATCCGTTAGGCCACGACGACTTTCATGAGAGAACTTAACGTTTTAAAAAAAATATACACACACTCCATACACTTGACTTTTCGAACTGCTTCATTCATATCATATCATAAGATAGGAAAGGAAGGGAAAAGGGACCTTAACTTTAACTTTATTCGTTGATCATTTCTTGTTCTATAACTGACTTGTTGTTGCTTGACATTATATTAACATTTCTTCTTTTCTTCTTTTCGATATGACATGACATTTTTAGACATTTTTATTAATATTTCAACAAATAGTACTGTTTTTTTTTATTATTATCATTTTTTTAAATTTTTATTTTCTCAGCTTATGCTGGTAGTACTTTAGTGACATTTACGGACTCGGTCAAGTAAATGTCACGGTTTCTTGGGGTTGGCTAACTATTGCATTATGTGGTTGATCATATTCTATTTGCAGAAACTTTCGTACAATTCTGCACGTGTTTAATATAGCAGCTTTTTGAAGAAGTATGTAGGTGTTAGGTTTTAGGTCAAGGAGCTTCAAACCATGATGTATATGTTTTGGAATAACACCAGTTGTGGACAATACTAGAGGGACAATGTATACTTTTTGTTGTTTCCAGATTCTTAAAACTTCATCCCTAAGGTCTGCATATTTGTGTATTTTTTCTGCTATTGTTTTTTGTAGGTTGTGAGTGTTAGGGACAGCTATATCGATCAGGTAAGTGATTTTATTTATTTTGTCTCGTACGGTAATATCGGGACGGTTGTAGTGTATGGTTCTATCGGTTAGTATTGCGCGGTCATAGTAAATTTNCGTGGTTCTGCTTAACCCCATCTGAAGGGCCAACAGTTTCTGCTTACGTTTGGGATTTCTTTGAATTCGCGCCTTCACAGCTTTTATCACTGCTGGAGTCCTAACAGACCGAGGGCGACCACTTCTTGACCTGTCATCTACACTAGAGTCTTCATTGTATCGTTTGATGGTACGATAAACGAATCTTTTGGTTATATTCAAATTTTTCAGTATGTTAAAAATTTGAATTGGCGCGTAACCGCAACGATGCAACGCAATATCTGCAACACGGTCTTCTTTAAGCGTCCACTCCATATTTAAAAATGAGTAAAATGCTAAAAGTATACATTTTTATTTTCATGAACAATTCGAAATTCGAATTCAATAAACTTTTTTGTGGCCAGCATTCTAACAGAAAAGTTTTTACTGTGTGACAATACTTATGACCTGACTAGTTATAACCTGAAGGGGTCTCAAGTTGGTGCGGGCCGCGTGAGCGAACACTACGCTTGCATACGTCATGACGGGGCGTATGCAAGTTTTGTAGAGGGTTACCTTGTTACGGAGGGACAGTTTGCTTCGTCTACAAAGCATTGGGTAGAGTCGTCCTAGTATAAACGCGGCGCGGTCGCGTACCGTTTTTATGTGGGGACGGAATGTCATTCCTCTGACGAGGGTGACGCCTAGGTATTTGACCTTCGGGGCCCACGGTATGGGCTGGTCAAAGAGAGTGATAGGGCTAACGGCGGAGGTGTTTGCGCGCCTATTGGGGAGTGGGGTGCTCGAAGTGGTATTCGGAGGGCGACCCCTTTTGAATAGCACCGCTGTGCTTTTCGTGGGGTTGATGTCGATTTGCCACTTCCGGAACCACTGTCCTATGGTGGTTACTGCAATCTGGAGTCGCCGATGAAGCAACGACATCTTCCTACACGAGTAGAAGATAGCCGTGTCATCGGCGAAGAGCGCTAGATGGGTCTCCGGAGACCGGGGTATATCATTTATATACAAACTAAATGGTAACGGGGAGAGCGCGGAGCTTTGCGGGACTCCGGCAGTCAAATGACGGGGACGAGAGCGAGTTCCCTCTACTCGATATCGAAACGAATGGTTCGACAAGAAGTCTCGTATGATGAGCACGAGTCTGTCTGGCACTCCCATGTTATACAGTTTGTAGATCGAACCGTTGTGTCAGACTTTGTCGAACGCCTTCGCTACATCGAAGAAGAAGGCGCCGGTCGGGATTTGTTTACGCCTATTTAGCCCTATTAAGATGTGCTCCGTGAGGCGGTGCACTTGTTGTACGCACGAGTGTTTAGCGCGGAATCCAAACTGCTCGTCTATTAGAATTTTATTCGCGGTAACGAAGTCCCAGAGGCGTTTCCGAAGGAGCCGTTCGTAACGTCCGCTTCTTTCCATACCGCAGGAAAGATGCAGTGCGTCATAGCGGCATTTAAGATGGTAGCCAACATTGTTATCAGTTGGTCAATTCATTGTTATTCACATGTGTGGGCGGTCTTCCACGTGGTTCGTTCTTGAAATCAAAATTTCCACCACGAAAGTGTTTAAACCAAAATCGCACGGTGCGTTCATTAGCAGTCCCCTCTCCAAACGCAACATTGATATTGCGAGCTGTTTCTGCAGCGTTAGTTCCGCGTCAGGACTCGTATCCAAAAATCACTCGAATTTTCGAAGTATCCATCTTTCTTGTCTAAGATGAATAAAAAAACAACTGAAAGTCAATAATCGAATGTTGTACATTTTTTAAAAGAAGAACCTCATAGGTACCATTTGAAAAAAGTTTCACTCAAAAATCTCAAACCATGAAGGTTCTATGTCAATTCGAAGTTCCTATTACAATAAAACGGCAATTTCATACTTTCACCCCTATTAATATATAGTAGTTGGCGGGAACGCGTAGAGTGAAGTTCTGTGATTTGTTTTATTTTGTCTATTTAGTGTTTCTTCAGGCGTAAATGTGTAATAGCTGTGGTTTATTAACTGTTTAATATCTGTGAAAGTGCACAAATGTGAGAAAATGAAACAAAGCCGCTGGACGTAACTAACCACTTAACACCAGGTGGGCTGTGAGCTCGTCCATCCATCTAAGCAATAAATAAAAAAAAAACCTAACTTCTCGGGACCCTCCAAAAAGTCCAAAAAAATCTCAGTAAGTGTCCACTATTTTACTGAGATTATACTCGTACGTCATCCCATATCATTTCCCATTTTATTTCGTTTCTTGCCATGTTAACAACTTCATTTCATAATATTAGCTTTCATATTTAAAAAGTTTTCATTAAAATTATAATAGGTCTTGACATAAAGGTCTTAGTAATCAGGTCATAAAATCCCTTAAAAACTAAAATTATGCATGATAGATGAGTAATTACGCCTAAGAAATAAATGACCGGGAACAAATCACGCACGGTAATCCGGTATCAAATTAGGTTTCCCCTTATCCCCCCTTTCACAGCGCTACAGCAGCGACCTATTCCGCACCTGCCTATTTCTGCCGTGAAGCAGTGATGCGTTTCAATTTGAAGGGCCGGGCAGTTGTTGTACTGTTCAAACTGAGACCTTCGAACTCATTTCTGGAGGTGGGTGACGCCATTTACGTTGTAGATGTCTATGGGCTCCGGTAACCACTTAACACCGGGCGGGCCGTGAGTTCGTTCACCCACCTGAGCAACGAAAAATAAGACTATAGGTATGTAAGTAATTAAAAGAATCCAATATAAATTAATAAAATAAATTTATATTCGCATGTATTTATTCGTCATCAACAAATACTTTTTCCTTCTTTCCTTCCAAGCACTCTCGCGATCCTTCCACTAATATCCTTCCGATGCTCTTGACTAGTCTGACTCTGAATCTTGATACTTTAGTGTTGTCACCGTAATCTAGAGTATTCATATTTCTCTCTATTTGGTACTTGAATGTGTTCCACAGCATTTCTCTGGCTTTTAATAAATAATCTGCTTGACTGAAAAAAAAATGCGTTATCTGTGGTCAAAACACTATTGTTTGATATCAAAATATTATTACAGTAGATACATACTAGTACATACATACATACTGGTGGTAGGACCTCTTGTGAGTCCGCGCGGGTAGGTACCACCACTCTGCTTATTTCTGCCGTGAGGCAATAATGCGTTTCGGTTTGAAAGGTGGGGCAGCCGTTGTAAATATACTTGAGACCTTAGAACTTAATCTCAAGGTGGGTGGCGCATTTACGTTGTAGATGTCTATGGGCTCCAGTAACCACTTAACATCAGGTGGGCTGTGAGCTCGTCCACCCATCTAAGCAATAAAAAAAAAGTCGTAATAATAAGGGTAAAGTTATGGAGCTCACTGTAAGAAAAAGTGTCCATTGAAAATCGATCAATTAGGGGGGCGCCACCGTAGCAAATGGTGTAATTTTAAAGATAACGCCAAAAGACATCAGGTACGATAGTGAATAAAAAAAAAGTAAAACTTCCTTTTTGTTATGGCGCACTGTTCAAAATAACACACAGGTCCTTGAAACTGCGATACTTTAAGACCAATATATTTTTTTTGTATAGAAACTATCGACATCTTATAGCCGATGCCCCTAAACTTATATGTTGTTAAAGTTAAGACATTTAATTATTGTGTAACTAAACACAGATAATAAAAAATATATATATCATACAAGTCTTTATGTGCTATAGACAAATTGATTAAATTTTATTAGGATAGGTAATATATTACTGCCATCTACAGGCGCAAGGAGAAACTAATCGGAGCGAAGCCATCTAGTGGCCGACGCCCGTAAGCATTTTTGTTGAACGCTTGAGTTGCTTATCTATAACTAGTTTATGTGTATTATCTATGATAACATAAACGGACATGAATATAGAATATTACAAAATTTTACATTATTTTTAATTTTTTTACTGGTGGTAGGACCTTTTGTGAGCCCGCACGGGTAGGTACCACCGCTCTACCATTTTCTGCCGTGAAGCAGTAATGCGTTTCGGTTTGAAGGGTGGGGCAGCCGTTGTAACTATACTGAGATCTTAGAATTTATATCTCAAGGTGGGTGGCGCATTTACGTTGTAGATGTCCATGGGCTCCAATAACCACTTAGCACCAGGTGGGCTGTGAGCTCGTCCACCCATATAAGCAATAAAAAAAAAAGTTCCAAATTGTTGTATAGCGTTAAACAGAAAATAACGTAAATATTTTAAAAGGAATATCTATTTTTGTGATAAATGAGTTCCCAAGAGAAGCCTGATGGGACCGAGATGAGAATCTAAAGTTTAAAAAAAAATACACCTATTCCGTACACTTCACAACATTTGCAAATGCTACTTTCATATCAGATCGCTTGCTACTTTAGCTGATCAGTTTTTCAGTTTAATTTTACTGCTTACAGCTGGACACTTATTCAAGTCAACATCAACAAGACACTTACCTCTACCCTCCTTTTATCATAAGCACATGCTTAAAACACTTACCAGGTTGGCATGTGTATTCTTAAGTTATGCTTTGGTATAGACAATATCGTTGTTTCACTGTCCGATGCCTCCTAGAAACAATAATATATGTTTAGTATATTATTTCCTAGAATTTATTACATATTTTTATTACACTTTTAATAAAGTTTAATAAATGTATTTTCTATAATTAAGTAATTTCAAATTTTGTTATTATTATACATCCTGTTTAAAAATAACTGGCTGTAATGTTTTTGAAGTTAAACTTCTTTAGGATCGTTGTGATTTCAAACTCGATGAAACGAAAAATAAGTCCATAGAGACACAAACACGTAAACGTATAGGATTCAGCCGCCGAGAGAATGAGATAGAACACATTAGACGTTCTCGGTGTAGTGTTTTTTTTAATACAGCGCCATCTATGAGATTTTTTAATACTAACGTGTGTATGAAACCTCTTGTAGTGAATTTTAATTTAGGATTATACGTGAAGTTAAAATGTCAATTCACAGAGGGCGCTACTTCATCAATTATTTACTAATGACAAAATTTTACATATACTTAGACATTTAGGATAATTGTATTTTAATTTTTGAAGGTTTCACTTCTACCACGTGTGAATTGCACACATGTTTTTTTTTTTGTAAGCCCTACCTTGTACACTGCTACCTTTATTATTATTTAAGTCCGGTTATTCTAAGTCATGTTAAATTCAATAATTTTTTTTTTTTTTTTTTTTCAGTATCAACTCATATAATGGTGGAGGAATGTTAGGTCTTGGGTTAGCTATTTCCAATTATACTAGCGACCCGCTCCGGCTCCGCTCGGGTCTTTAACAAAAATTTCAACGATATTTGTCGTTATTTTATTTTTTTAAATAAAATAACACTTATTGCGACATAACTATAATAGTTAGACATATGCTGTCGCGACAGTTTTTGTAAATATTAATGTGTTCTACAAAGTCGTACATTATTTTATTCTATCATCAATTAGTTATCGCAGGGCACGCGATGTAAAGAATATTCTAGGTAATTTTTTTACACCCTGGTTTACATTATTGGAGTTTTAGTAAGAATCTTCAAAAAAGATTTTAGCCTATGTCACTCGGGAATAGTGTAGCTTTCAAATAATTAAAGAATTTTTCAAATCGGTTCAGTAGTTTCGGAGCCTATTCAGTACAAACAAACAAACAAATCTTTCCTCTTTATAATATTATAGTATAGAAGTAGCTGTAGTTACGATAAACATAGGTCACCTTCCGCACGTCAGACGGGCTGAACAGCAGGGCGGTCTGCGGGGGCACGAGGCTGGTCTTGTGGAGCACGAGGGCTCTCCTCTCGGCCGAGCGGTGGCCCCCGAAATACGCGATCAGCTTGCATTTATCGCCGCGCTTGATCACATTGTGATTCACGCTCTCGCTGCTGACGTGGGCGCGTTCGCGGGAGCTAAAGCACAAGCGCTATATTGTATTGGGAGGTCGCTACTGTAGCGGCAGTTTAGGGGAAGGGTAAGGGAGATTTTTGGTGGGAACACGAGGAGTGAAGTTGTGTGATTTGTGATTCGTTGACTTCGTCTCAAACTTTTTCGTCTGTGTGTTGCATGTCGCGTGACGGTCGGCCGCGGAGTAGGGGTAAAGTGAAAGGCGCTCGTCAGAGCAGCCAAGGCCAATATGGCGGCGCCTATAGTTCGCAGCAGCTGACCGTGTAGTGTATAGACTGTTACTCATTTGTGCCAGTGCTCCACGCTATTTTGTTTTTGTTTTTGTCAGTGTTTAATGTAAATTTTGTTTGTCAGAGTTAAATGTCTATAATGTGAAATAAAGTTTCATTTTACCGTGGTTTCATAAAACTACACAATCCTTTTTTTTATTTTGTCTATTTAGTGTTTCTTCAGGTTTAAATGTGTAATAACGGTGGTTTATTAACTGTTTAGTATCTGTGAAAGTGCACAAACGTAGGAAAATCAAACAAAGCTGCCGGACGTAGCTTCACGGGATCCTTGAAAAAGTCCACTGAAAAAACCTTATTAAATGACCACCGTTTTACTGAGATTAAATTTCATCCCATATCATATCATCTCATTTTATTTCACTCCATATTATCATTTTTCATAAAAATAAGAATATAAATTAAAATGAGACATGACCTAAAGGTCTTAGTTACCAGGTCATAAAATGCCTTAAAAAAACAAAGGTATGGGAAGGGGGTTATGACGTCACGGCTCCGACAGAGACGGTTGTTTATGCGAGTACAGTACACGGCGTCGGGCGGGACCCCGCCTTGCGACCCGTCGTGTCTGGGTCTTTATTATCTTTAAGTAGTTACCGGAGCCCATAGACATCTATAACGTAAATGCCGCCACATACCTCGAGATATGAGTGGTAAGGTCTCAGTATAGTTACGAGGCTGCCCTACCCTTCAAACCGAAACGCATTACTGCTTCGCGGTAGAAGTAGGCAGGGCGGTGGTACTCACCCGCGCGGACGCCCAAGAGAGGTCCTACCACCAGTGGTTACGCAAATTATAATTTTGCGGGTTTGATTTTTATTACACGATGTTATTCCTTCACCGTGGAAGTCAATCGTGAACGTTTTTAAGTACGTATTTCATTAGAAAAATTGGCACCTGCCAGCGGGATTCGAACACCGGTGCATCGCTACATACTAATGCACTGGACGTCTTATCCTTTAGGCCACGACGACTTCAAAACACTACACTAATGTGAAAATAGTTTCAATGGCGATATCAATGGGTTTTAGGATGAACCTTTCAATATACATTCAATACACAAGATCAATTCGCACTGTAGGTACACTTAGGAAAAATCACAATAGTGTTAGAAGTTAACACTTTATGTTTTTTGTGTGCGTTGTTGCCTATAAATTGTGGAGGATAGTGGTAAGGAGCATCATCTCCAAGGAAGACTCATCCAAATAGCGCTAGTATGTGAAGTAGAAATTATATGAATATATATAGCAGTTTTAAGCAGGTTGAAGAGTGCTGGATTGAAGTGGAGTGTGATAGGTCATGACGCTGTTTTTTAAATCTTTTCACTTGCTACTATGGCGCCGTAATTGGCTTTCGATGTACCCTTTTTAATGCACTGAGATGGAGCAATTATTTCTATCCAGCATGGCATAAATGAATGAGGTTAGTTCCGTTGCGTACCTGGTGTATAGCACGGTTTCCGTGGCGAGTTTCCCTTTGGTCCTGAGTCTGCGGCTCGCGGTGAGCAGCGCGTCGCTCCCGGACAACAGCACGGCGGACGTCAGCTCGTCAATACCACTGAACCTGTTTAGTTCTTCCGCCTCTATCGTAGGTTCTACTACGCCAGTTTTCAGTAGTTGCTCCAGATACAAGTTCGTCAGATCTGTGCGGAATGTATGAAATCATCATCACTTATTATGAGTCCGCGCGGGTAGGTACCACCGCCCTGCCTATTTCTGCCGTGAAGCGATTTTGAAGGGCGGGGCAGCCGTTGTAACTATACTTGAGACTTTAGAACTTATATCTCAAGGTGGGTGGCGCATTTACGTTGTAGGTGTCTATGGACTTCGATAACCAAATAACACCAGGTGGGCTGTGAGCTCGTCCACCCATCTAAGCAATAAAAAGAAACCATGTGTGCAATTCAGACGTGGTAGAAGTGAAACCTTCAAAAATTAAAATGCAATTATCCTAAATGTCTAAGTATATCTAAAATTTTGTCATTAGTAAATAATTGTAAATCATCTTTTGTAGTATAAGGTAGCGCCCTCTGTGAATTGATATTTTGACTTCACGTATAATCCTAAATTAAAATTCACTACAAGAGGTTTCATACACACGTTAGTATTAAAAAATCTCATAGATTGAACTGTATTAAAAAAAAAATACTACACCGAGAACGTCTAATGTGTTCTATCTCATTCTCTCGCCGGCTGAATCCTATACATTTATGTGTTTGTGTCTCTATGGACTTATTATTTCGTTTCATCGAGTTTGAAATCACAACGATCCTAAAGAAGTTTTACTTCAAAACACTACGGCCAGTTATTTTTAAACAGGATGTATAATAATAACAAAATTTGAAATTACGTTATTATAGAAAATTCATTTATTAAATAAATTTATTAAAAAAATAATGAAAATAATATGCAATAAATTCTAGGAAATAATATACTAAACATATATACTAAAGAAGTGTCACTTCCAAAAAAAAAATTTCCTGTTTATGCTATCCGTACCTTTAACGTTTTTCAATCTCTCCCTACTGAGTCCGTGCTGCGTGCACCAGCGCCCCGCCTCCCCCCCGCCGAGCTCGGACAGCTTCTGTTCGAACTCGCGCTGGATCCAGTACAGGGCGCTGTAGTCACACGTCGGACTGAATTTGCGCTTCATCTCGAGTATTTCTGCGAAACAATTCTACTTTACTGATCGTTGCTCAGCGAGCTATGGAGACGGCTACGCTTGGAGTTTCCCTGAAAGATCGAATCCGGAACGAGGTGACCCGACAGAGGACCAAAGTTATAGACATAGCACAGCGGAGTCCGCACGGGTAGGTACCACCACCCCGCCTATTTCCGCCGTGAAGCAGTAATGCGTTTCGGTTCGAAGGGTGGGGTAGCCGTTGTAACTATACTGAGACCTTAGAACTTATATCTCAAGGTGGGTGGCGCTTTTACGTTGTAGATGTCTATGGGTTCCAGTAACCACTTAATACCAGGTGGGCTATGATATCGTCCACCGATCTAAGCAATAAAAAAAAAAGAATTAGTAAGCTGAAGTGGAAATGGGCTGGCCATATTAGCCGGACAACCGGTAACCGTTGGGGTAAGCGCGTTCTTGAGTGGAGACCGCAAACTGGAAAACGTGGTACAGTGTGCTTAGTGTGAGTTTCTTAACGCTCTCGATAGCGTAAAAGTTAATTCACTTAAAATTAGTTCAGCGCAATCGGACAGATCCGAAGGACTGGGGAATCCATTTACGGATACCCGGTCCGGCGGAGGGTGTAACGAATCGGGTTATGTCGGACTCCGACACCTCCCAAGAGGAAGAGGGAGACGAGGAGGGCCAAGGTCATCCACCTCCCCGAATTCCTCGCAGGAGACTACGCCTTGAAGGGCGGAGCTACTTTATCTTTATTTATTCATTTATTCAAACACAAAAAAAAACTAACACAAAAAACATTATTAAAATTATTAAGCTAAAAATAACATTATTTTGGGAAAAAGGTATTCCCCAACTATCGGCAAACACGTCAGCATCCTGGATTACGGACAGAAATTCGTTTAAAAGCGCAATTGCCCTGGTCGTTGGACAGTTCCTAGCTCTACGGGTTCTCAGCCCCGCCAACGCCGCCAATAAGTGTACCTACCGCCAGTACCCGACCTTCGGCTCAGCGACCTGGTCCGAACCCACCTGCCTTGCGTTGAGCAGCGTCGTGGAACAGCTGCAAGTTGTCGCTGACGTGCGTGGCGATCGTGGCGGCGGCAATGACATTGCCAATGGCCACCGAGTGTAGCAGGCAGACAGCGACCCGCGGCGCCAGCGCCAGCCCGCATAGCAGCCCGCCGAGCCGTGTCAGCTGTTGCCGGCCAGTTAGAGCACCTTTGTGAAACAATACCAACATCTTAAAGGCTTCGTCAAACAGAACGCGTACTTAGCGCTGCGTTTTAACGTCGCACTCTTTTCATGTCACACAAATTGACTAGATGAGTCCAACGCTCCTTGACGCAACGTAACATTCGCCAAATCATAGTGCCTTTCGATAGCAGCCTGAAAATTTAAAAGTACTAAGATGTCGAGTGATTCAGATGTGGCATTGTATAAGCATAGGTATTTTCTAACCAATTCTATCAATTTTTCGGGCATTATCCAGTATTTTAATACACATTCACTCGGACGCTCAAATAAAATTTGTAAATATTACAACGCCTGACGTCAAAGCGTTGCGTACTTATAGCGCTGGGGCTCTGTTTGACAGTATATTATCATAGTAGTACAACACATTTCGGCGTCATAGCGCGCCGTCAGTTTAGCGCTCTAACGCGCGCTAAGTACGCGTTCCGTTTGAAGAAGCCTTTATTGTTTTTTTTTTTGGAAGTAAAACTTCTTTAGCCACAGGTGTAAAACTTAGCTCGTGACAAATTCGTTTCGGCTAGAGAGAAAAGATACAATTTAGGACGAGCGCGAATGAGAGAATAGACAGAGCGTCTCGCGAACTCAACTTTGAGAGAGGGAGAGAGAGAGAGAATACACTTTATTGCACACCAACACAATTTACATTCAAAAAAACAGTCAAAAAGCACATATGTACAATAGGTGGTCTTATCGCTAAAAGCGATCTCTTCCAGACAACCGTTTGATTTACAGAAATTCTGTAAAATATAAAAATATAGCAGGTATGTTGCGGTGTACCATAGACAATACATTATTATAGAAAATATATACATACAATAAACAGTTATATACCGTTTACATATAATATATACCAATATACATACTTACATACAATACATACTAATATACTTACACACATAATAAATCAACAATATGGAGATGATAAATGATAATGATGCAACAAACAGCACTAAGCAGATAAGTAGTGCTCCTTCACCATTTTTTAAAACAGTTTAAAGTTGGAGCACTTCTCACTGCATCCGGCAGAGCATTCCACAATCGAACCGCCTGGACGGTGAATGAATCGTCAAAGAATGATGATGAATGCGCCGGCATTTTCAGTCTCAGGTTATCCGATGATCTCAGAGAAAAATTATGCGTATCTCCTAGGAGCTCGAAACGTTCTTTGAGATATATGGGGGTATGGGGGTTAAAGAGAGTACAGTATAGTAATGAAAGGACATGAGTATTGCGGCGAAGGCGAATTGGTAACCACTTGAGTTTAGTGCGAAATTCAGATATATGATCATATTTCCGTAACCCAAACATGAATCTTATGCAGAAATTTTGTAGCCGTTCAAGTTTATCAAGTTGTGTTTTGGAGTCAACTTTGGAGAGAGAAAGAGAGCAGTTTTTTTTATTGCTTAGATGGGTGGACGAGCTTATAGCCCATCTGCTGTTAAGCGGTTATTGGAGCCCATAGACATCCATAACGTAAATGTGCCACCCACCTTGAGATATAAGTTCTAAGGTCTCAGTATAGTTACAACGGCTGCCCCACCCTTCAAATCGAAACGCATTACTGCTTCACGGCAGAAATAGGCAGGGTGGTGGTACCTCTAATGCCACTATTAGATTCAGAACATTGTTAAAATCATATAACCTTAGCAATTTATTTTCAGAGCCCACAAGAAAAACTAGCACATCGGCAACCTGTATAGATAATATTTTCACAAACGTAAAACCTTTGCATAAATATATTATTAATCATTTAAGTTCAGACCACAGTGGACAATTCATATCTTTTAAAATTAAATCTGTTACAGATGTNAAAAAAAAAAAAAAAAAAAGAGCCCGCTGAGTTTGTTTCGCCGGTTCTTCTCAGGACTGTGGCTTTTTTGGAACCGGTGGTAGAGTTAACATTTTCTTTTACATTTTGACATTCAACAAGTGTGTTTTTGATGACATCCAAGTTGAAATAAATGATTTTGAATTTGAATTTGATCTCTGTGCAGACTCACCTACCACCAGTAATTAGAACTTCTTTATGCATTTTTCTTTTTCCTATCTACGCTGATAGGCTTGAGAGGCTATTTCAGCTTCTCCTTGACGTGTAGGTGAGCTCGCGGGGCTCAAGCCGGATGTGTTGCTAACACTGACCTTAGCAAGAGCAGTGCTTCGCAGAATTTACTACCGGATTGGAAACGCGACCCACTGAGAAGATCCGGCGAGAAACTCAGTGGGCCGTGTCTGTGGGTATAGGCGCGTTGCGAGTAAAATCGCGACAGATTCGTTACGGCTAGAGAGAAAAGATACAATTTACAACGAGCGAGAGTGCAAGAATAGACAGAGCGTCTCGCGAACCACTCAACTTTGGAGAGAGAGAGAGAGAGAAAGCAAGCTAGGTCGTTTCTCTTATACACAGCATTCCCTATTACAAGATTAATTTGATTTAACGATGATGATTTTTCAAAAACCACAAAAAAGAAGTTTTAGTTCTTTCACGTGCACCATTCTTTTAAAATAGATACGTATACGAAATCGCAATTCAATTAAAATACTAGTATTTTTATTTTTCATATTTCTGTGTTTATATATTTATCTATATTTATAAATTTATAATAGAATTTATATTTCTGTGTGTTGTGTATAATAATATAGACGAAAACTCTAAAATCTATCTGATCTAAATCAGTGATCCGTAGTGTAGTGTAGGCTTTAAAAAAAAAAGTCGTTCATACCAATTTCCACGAGGTCGTTGACGGCGAAGTCGATGGCGTCCGAGCCGGGGGGCTCCGGCAGCTGCGACAGGAAGTCCTCGATCCTGTCGTCCGGAGCGTACGACTTGCAGTCCAGCACCGTCTGCACCAGCGGCACCCTGCCGACACACCGCTCTACTGTAACTCTGAACAGCACAGTGAGTCCGCACGGGTAGGTACCACCACCCAGCCTATTTCTGCCGTGGAGCAGCAATGCGTTTCGGTTTGAAGGGTGCGGCAGCCGTTGTAACTATACTGAGACTTTAGAACTTATATCTCAAGGTGGGTGGCGCATTTACGTTGTAGATGTCTATGGGCTCCAGTAACCACTTAACACCGGATGCGCTGTGAGCTCGTTCACCTATCTAAGCTATACAAAAAAACAAAATGTGTGCAATTCACACGTGGTAGAAGTGAAACCTTCCAAAATTAAAATACAATTATCCTAAACGTCTTAAGTATATGTAAAATTTTGTCATTAGTAAATAATTACAAAATTTAGTAAATAATGACAAAATAATGACAAAAATTATAAAGGTAGCGCCCTCTGTGAATTGATATTTTAATTTCACGTATAATCCTAAATTAAAATTCACTACAAGAGCTTTCATACACACGTTAGTATTAAAAAATCTCACAGATGGCGCTGTATTAAATAGTATGTATATTTCTGTCTCATTCTTTGCTGGCTTCATCCTACACATTTTTTATTTGTGTCTCTTACCTGTCGTTTTTTCCGTTGCATCCGGTTTGAAATCACAACGATTCTAAAGAAGTTTTCACTTCAAAAATAACACGTCATCACGGATCCTCCCGATCCTGTAACGGTGCTATTAGGTACCACAAGCACCGGTCATCGTCGACTAGTTATAGTTTGTACTCGTCGTGGCCTAAAGGATAAGACGTCCGGTACATTCGTGTGTAGCGATGCAACGGTGTTCGAATCCCGCATGTTCTAAGGTCTCAGTATAGTTACAACGGCTGCCTCACTTTTCAAACCGAAACGCATTACTGCTTCACGTCAGAAATAGGCAGGGCGGTGGTACCTACTCGTGCGGATTCACAAGACGTCCTACCACCAGTAATTACGCAAATTATAATTTTGCTGTTCTAATTTTTATTACACGATGCTATTCCTTCACCGTGGAAGTCAATCGTGAACATCTGTAAAGTACGTATTTCATCACAAAAATTAGTACCCGGCTGCGGGATTCGAACACCGGTGCACCGCTCAACACAAATGCACAGGACGTCTTGATTTTTTAGGCCACGACGACTTTGCTCCTTAAACCTAGTGTGACCCCTCGAGGTCAATAGAATAGGTAGGAAAAAAGAAAACCTCTCGAGTGAGATAGAGCATCACTAGACCAGTACGCGGCAGGGTGGGGTGAGTCACTCACCTCAGTATCTCGGGGGTGGAGTGCGGCCGGAACTCCTGCTCCTTCTGCCTCGTGTACAGCTTGTAGCAGTGACCTGCAACACGCGCGTGTCACCTGCCGGCAGGCGGGCGGGGGACCAAATGTTGTTGTTCGGAACATGTATACACGCAAGCTTATCTTGAAAATGTCGTTAGCGAGAAATTCGATCGTCATAAACGTACTGTTAAGAGATCGATTTGACGGTATTCAAAAAAAATGTGTGTACAAGTCACACTCGGTAGAAGTGAAACTTACATAAAAAATAAAAATAATCACAAGGGTCAACCACTCCACAGTGCAATGGAGCAGCCTCGCCCCGGGGGAACCGCCTGCATGATCACAGTATCCCTACCCCAAACTTATTTTTTCGTTTCGTTTCATTTCGTTTCATCGAGTTTGAAATCACATCACAACGATTCTAAAGAAGTTTCACTACAAAAACCAATCTAAAATTGACTACTTCTATTTAAAATAATATTTCAAAATTACATTATATTTTCTGTGCTGACTGACCAACGTCCGTGTTTCAATTCGAGAACCCTTCTACGAGTGCATCTTAAACGCATAGAAATAAGGTTTAAATTAAGCTCATTATGACCAAGTGACCAATAAAAAAAAAAGTTCGATTGAATCGACGAAGTTAAATAGTAGACGAAGTAGTTTTTAACATAATTAACATTCAAATTGGTATAGATAAATTATTTTAATCCATCAAATCCTATATACCCCGTGTGCTTCCTAGACGCGGATACATCGACTAGGATTTTTTTTTATTGCACTTGTAGGCAGACGAGCATACGGCCCACCTGATGGTGAGTGGTTACCGTCGCCCATGGATTTCAGCAATGTCAGGGGCAGAGCCAAGCCGCTGCCTACCGCTTAATACTCTCCACAAGCCTCTTTTGAAGAAGGACATGTCATAGCGCTCGGGAAACACCGTGGAGGGGAGCTCATTCCATAGCCATATTTATTTAACAAATTAATTTAAGTAATCAATATACCCGCTCGCACTCTCCCGGCTCGTCCGCACCTCTGCTTGGCGGCGGCCTGCGACACCCACGCCGTCTCCAGACATAATGTACCTGCAGCCAAATGTAGCTATGTCACTCCACAGTCAACTGTAAACTGTCGCATTAAAATATATACCCTTAAACTGAAGTTTTAACTACAGTAGATAATCCAATTAGGCAACACAGAAATTAAAATTAAATAAAGCAACACTGAAATTAAAATTAAATAAAGCAACACTGAAGTTAAAATTACATAAGGCAACACTAAAGTTAAAATCAAATAAGGCAACAAACACTGAATTTAAAATTAAGTAAGGCAACACTGAAGTTAAAATCAGATAAAGCAACACTGAAATTATAATCAATTAAGGCAACTCTGAAGTTAAAATCACAGAAGGCAACACTGAAGTTAAACTATTTTTTTGTTGCGTTGATTGGCAGACGAACACACTGTCCGTCTGACGGTAATCTGTTACCGTAATACCAGAGGTACAGTCAAGTCGCTACCTGCCAATAAGGCACAATAAAGAGCATTGTCAGGAATGAATTTGTTAGAGCAATTCTGAAAGTAGCACCTGTGACAGAGAAGCTGAGAAGTGCGCGTTTGGGATGGTATGGACATGTGATGAGACGAAATGAAAATCTGCTTGGTAAGGAAGTGTTAACTATGAATGTGGAAGGATATAGATGAAGAGGTAGACCTAGGAAGAAATGGATGGATTGCGTGAAAGACGATATGGGTAAGAGGGGAGTGAGCGAAGAAATGGTATATGATAGATGAGTATGGCGGCCACCAGACAACCTTGAAAAATTGACTGTGGCGGGCAAGGTAGATGGGAAAAGACCCGCCGGCCGGCCACCGGACCGTCGCTCAGATCAGATAACTGCGCTCACAGGACTGTTGCCACCGCCTTGAGAGAAGCCGAAAACCGAAGGAAATGGAAGCTGATGGTACAAAGGACTTTGAGGGATACGACCTTCAGCAATGAAGTATGCGACTAAGAAGAAGAGGAAAGGAGAAAACATGTTGCTCCGACCCTAGGTGACTGGGAGAAGGACAGGAGAACGATGATGAAGGAACAGTGAGGTCAGTACAGACCCGCGCTCTGGTCGGTGGTGTTCTCCCGGTGCGCGCCGGTGTCCAGCACGTGCGTGACGTCCGGCACCGTCAGCGACGTCTCCGCCACGTTGGTCGCCAGCAGCACGCGCCGCACGCCCGCCGCCGCCGCCGAGAATATGCGCGCCTGCTCCAACGCCGACAGTCTGCCCCATACCGACCACTTCATTACTTATTGATACTAGTGGTCCCCCAGTAGTACAAATTTATTACCAATGGTACCCGAGTAGTCAAACTTTATTACTAGTGGTTCCCCAGTAGTAGAAATTTATTACTAATGGTACCAGAGTAGTCAAACTTTATTACTAGTGGTTCCCCTGTAGTCGAAAATTATTACTAGTGGTCCCCCAGTAGTAAAAATTTATTACTAGTGGTCCTCCAGTAGTCAAAATTTATTACTAGTGTTCCCCCAGCAGCCGAAATTCGACTATAAATTAATTGAAATTATAAGTTTGAACATTATTACGGTTCTATTGTCAAAGACTAGGTACACATTATATTTCTATAATCACAGATTTCCCTAAGACTACACTATAGACAAATAATATTAAAGACAAACAATATTATATCGATTCTCAACTTTACCACAGACATTAAACAATAAACAAAGAGCATTTAAGTGAGTGTGAGTGTGAGTGTGTGTGTGTGTGTGTGTGTGTATCAAATACATAGTAGTGTGTGTAATGTTTTTTATTGATTTTATTTAGTTTTATATATAATTTAAAAAGAAATATTAGCATTCTGCACTCCTTCTCTGTATTCTATATAAGTGTTGGAAATTTCATAAACCTCCGTCCGCGCAATTTTCGTAAAAAAGGGTTTAAAGTTTTTGCTTCACGTATTTCAATCTAGACAAACAGTATTAATAAACTATACAAAACTGAATGCTCTTTTGTACTGAATGACGCTGAAGAAAAATCCTCTTTAAAAAATAAAGAGTTATAAATAATAAAGGTATGTAAGGTTTTCTTTACATGTATTTAATGTGTGCTGTTCGAATAACTTCCAAATTGGAAAGGGCAACAGTTCGCGATTGCCCCATCAGGAAAATTCAATGAATCAATTGAGATCTAAATTAGCATTGATTTGTGAATGTCGTGTCATATTTTGTTGTGTATTGGTGTGACGTGGCGTGGCGTGACATGTCGTCGCGTGTCGTGGTATGTCGTGTTTTGATGTGTATTTGTGTAACGTGGCGAGGTGTGAATTAGCCAGTCGTGTCGTGGCGTATAATGGCGTGATGTGTCGGAGAGTGTCGTATTTTGTTGTGTATTGGGCGTGAGGTGTCGTGGCGTGACGTGGCGCGTCGTGTCGTGTCGTGCCTCACCTGGAATGAACAGGCACGAGCATATGCAAGTTCGAGCCTCGATAGTGCTCTTCTAATATCTGCATCGTATATTTTATCTCGGCCCAGCCCGGGAGGAACACTAAAATCGCACCTTCCTCTTGCGTTCTGTCGATCGCTTTTATCACTTCGGCTATCTGTTCGAACAAATCAAGTTATCATTACTGGTGGTAGGAGCTCTTGTGTGTCTGCACGGGTAGGTACCACCACCCCACCTATTTCTGCCGTGAAGCAGTAATGCGTTTCGGTTTGAAGGGTGGGGCAGCCGTTGTAACTATACTGAGACCTTAGAACTTATCTCAAGTTGGGTGGCGCATTTACGTTATAGATGTCTATGGGCTCCAGTAACCACTTAACAACATGTGGGCTGTGAGCTCGTACACTCAACTAAGCAATAAAAAAAAATTCATATAAATACATTTTGAAGTCGTCGTGGTCTAAAGCAGGGATGAGCAACATGCGGCCCGCCTGGTCTTTCTAAAATTGAATTTATTTTCTCGACTTTCTCATTTCGGTTAGATTTTCTGTTTTTTTTGTTTTTGTTTTTTATCTAATATTTACGATAAATAAAGTTTCATAAATTATTAATAAGAGTTAATCTATATGCGGCCTTCCAAAGAAATTTTAAATTTAAATTGGCCTATTGATTAAAAAAGTTGCTCATCCCTGGCCTAAAGGATAAGACGCCCGGTATATTTATTCGTATCGACAGTGCCGGTGTTCGAATCCACGAATACGTCCACTCATATAAACAATCAAAAAAATATTCAAATGATTCATTTAAAGCTATAATCAGTTGTAATAAAATTGAATTAAACATGGAAACACTCAAGTAGAATGATAGTGCCTCTTTGGCTACTTTTCTTCCCTTATCTAATCGTTGGTAGCCCTAATAGGCTATTCAAACTACTCACAGATCAGGTGAGCTCACGGGCTCAATCTGAGAGAATTTGCCAACACTGGCCCCAGCAAAAGTAGTGCTTCGTAGAATCTACCACCGGATCGTGACCCACTGAGAAGATCCGGCGAGAAACTCAGTGGATCTTGATTTGTCTTGCTTTAAGACGCACACAGATTCTAAATGTTTAATAAGCCATTGTCACACGCATCGAACCTAAAGGAACACTAAACTAATAAAATAAAACAATTCTTTTTGTTTTCATTGTCCTTGTAGGCAGACGAGCACACGGCCCACCTGATGGTGAGTGGTTACCGTCGCCCATGGACTTCAGCAATGCAAGAGGCAGAGCCAAGCAGCTACCTACCGCTGAATTCACACTGCTTGCGTTCTCGTCAAAAAGCACCTTAAGTATTTAGTGATAAAAGCTATATTTCAGCAACACGAGTACCTCTTGGCAGTGGACCGTCGGTCTACCGCCCGCCCTCGAGATACTCTCCATCGTTTTGGGCAAATTCAAATTGAACTTCTTTTGTATGTCATCGAGATACGTGACCTCGACCGGGTAAGTTCTCCCCGGAACCGCTATCACCGGACATTGTCCGAAATATCTGGAATATTAATGCAAAATTTATTTATGGATGCTAAAGTAAAAATTTGTAGACATTCAGTTAAATAAAACTAACAATTATTGCCTTGACACATTGTAATGTACAATAATTTTTTTTTTTTCGTACGGCAATCGACAAGTGATCATTGTTGCCGCCTTCAAATTTATAACACCACCAATAATTTGTATATAACGCCTCGTGACCTTTCCAAATAATGAAACACAGTTAATTTTGCGAGTTTCTAATTTATTTTGATATTTTTATGATCGTTCATAAATGATTTCGTTGTTTTGATAACGATTAATCGTCTTGTATTCCACTAAATTTAACTGGTAACTTTAATCTGTTAACCGGGGAATTCCCTGTTTTTAAATACGCACGCAGCGTTTAATGTGCACGGACTCTTTCACTGGGACGTGTCAGTACCGCTATCAACATCAATATGATACTGATCTTCTTTTTTTATTGCTTAGATGGGTGGATGGTGCTCACAGCCTACCTGGTATTAAGTGGTTACTGGAGCCCATAGACATCTACGCCGTAAATGCGCCACACACCTTGAGATACGAGTTCTAAGGTCTCAGTATAGTTACAACGGCTGCCCCGCCCTACAAACCGAAACGCATTACTGCTTCACGGCAGAAATAGGCAGGGCGGTGGTACCCACCCGCGCGGACTCACAAGAGGTCCTACCACCAGTAATTACGCAAATTATAATTTGGTGGACTAATATCATTGTTGACGAAAGTATAAGAAGTTCCATTGACTCCACAGCGCGACATATCTTTCAAGCACGCATTCACATGCTCTACCCGTACACATTACTGTTCGGTTAAAATTTTAATTAAGAGCTGGCAACACCGAATGTAGTTGCGTCTGTCATGGTGGACAAACGTCAAATCAATCCATTCTATTGACAGCGGTTGCATGCGATGGTCCTTCATAAACCTCATGTTTGAATCTGAAGAGGCACTAAGCCGACAAACTAAACATGAAAGTGACAGAAATCAAAAAATTGACCCGCCTGTTGTTAAGTGGCCAACATGACCCATAGATAGAGCAATATGAACGCCGCCGCCCGTCTTAAGACGTGATGAACAAACAAACTAATAACAATAAGGCATTTACTACGTACCTAGTGAACACGTCGACGTCAAGCGTGGCGCTCATTATAATGACTTTAAGTTCCGAATTGATTTTCAAAGCTCTTTTCAAAAGCAATAAGGTCACATCGGTGTTCACGTCCCTCTCGTGAGCCTCATCTATGAGCACGTGAGTGCAGCCTACGAGACCTGAAAAATAAAAACAGATTTTTTGGTCTTTTTTTTGGGCAAGCAATGGAGGACAAAGTCGACTGGCACGGAGTCAATGACCTCTACTGAAACATAAGCTTACGTAACAGATCAAATTTTAGGATTTTTTTTTGGGCAAGCAATGTAAGACAAAGTCAAATGGCGCGGAGTCAACGACCCCTAGTGAAATGTTAACTTACGTAATAAATCAGATTTTAGGGTATTTTTTTGGGCAGGCAATGTAGGACAAAGTCGAATGACGCGGAGTGAACGACCCCCTAGTGAAATGTTAACTTACGTAATAGATCAGATTTTAGGGTATTTTTTGGGCAGGCAATGTAGGACAAAGTCGAATGGCGCGGAGTCAACGACCCCTAGTGAAATGTTAACTTACGTAATAGATCAGATTTTAGGGTATTTTTTGGACAGGCAATGTAGGACAAAGTCGAATGGCGCGGAGTCAACGACCCCTAGTGAAATGTTAACTTACGTAATAGATCAGATTTTAGGGTCTTTTTTGGGCAAGCAATATAGGACAAAGTCGAATGGCATGGAGCCAATGACCCCTACTGAAACGTAAACTTACGTAACAGATCAGATTTTAGGGTATTTTTTGGGCAGGCAATGTAGGACAAAGTCAATTGGCGCGGAGTCAACGACCCTCTAGTGAAACGTTAACTTACGTAATAGATCAGATTTTAGGGTATTCTTTGGGCAGGCAATGTAGGACAAAGTCAAATGGCGCGGAGTCAACGACCCCCTAGTGAAACTTTAATTTACGTAACAGACAAGTGATGCTTGTCTGAACGAATACCTTTGTATTCATAAAGCACGTCTTTGCAGTTCTGATATCAGAAATTATCTTTGTATCTTTTCTTCTCACGTCTTTCGATCTCAATCCGACTTTATTGCATGGGCGAACGAGCTCACAGCTCATCTAGGGTTAAGTTCCCACCGGAGCCCAAGGACATCACGATTAGACTAAAAGTCTAAATTACTATACAAACAGCTGTTCCAACATTATGTTCGCCATGTAAAAATTTTTGCATATATCTGGTCTACTTATTTTTGGAGTCAACGCAGCATCGATCGCGTTTGAGTGGTAACCACGTAGCAGGTGAAGACCTGGTCGTGGAGAGCCAGATGAGACTACTTGTGATGATGATGATGATTCATATCCGACCGATTTCGGGCATGGCGACCACTTTGACTCCTACCCGTCGATTTGGCGCTCGGAGATGGCTTATATAGCCTATTTTCACGGCAAAACTTGTGAAGGCCCTATGTGCGAGCAGGGTACCCTACAAATTGGCAACCACATCACAGTTATGGCAACGCAAACATCGATTGCTGATAATCTGGCGGTAATGACATCTCGTCGGCATGATCGGGTCACAAGGCAGTACGTACCGACCTGGGTTGGCCTGCAGCCTCCTCAGCAGGACCCCGCTGGTGCAGTAGAGCACGGAGCCGGCGGGCGGCCGCGGCGGCTTCGAGTGCAAGCGCACTTGATAACCGACTGTTTCTCCAACCTGGAAATTCAGATGTTCACCAGAAGACGAAAACACTTGGTAATCAGGCAATAATAGTTCTGAATCGCACTATTGATATTTAAAAAAAATTATGACTATAGAGGTCATGCAGGCCAAAAACCATTTTGACACTATATCCAACCCTGAAAATGGACAACTTGGATGCACCCTTGGCATTGCTGACGTCCATAAGCGACAATAACCACTAACCATCAGGTGGACCGTATGCTTGTATGCGTACAAAGACAATAAAAAAATAATGAAATCAGAACAACTTTGTGGTTTATATTGTGCCTTACATGCGGAATGTTCTGAAGAATTCTTTGAGAAGATCCCTACATCTCGTCTTTACCATCGCACCGGGCTCAACTCCGGACTTCATCCATACTGCCTTGTAGCACGTTTGTCTATAGTGAGTTTCCAGAAAATTGTTCAGAAGCGTACCCTGACGTTTTGGGGTGAAATTCCCTCTGCAGTAATTCCTGAGCGCTATAACATGTCCTTCTCAAACGAGGATCACTCAGCGATAGGCAGCGGCTCGGCTCTATCCCTAGCATTGTTGATGTCCATGGTAACTGGTGGTAGGACCTTTTGTGAGTCCGCACGGGTAGATACCACCACCCTGCCTATTTCTGCCGTGAAGCAGTAATGCGTTTCGGTTTGAAGGGTCGGCAGCCGTTGTAACTATACTAAGACCTTAGAACTTATATCTAAAGGTGGCTGGTGCCTTTACGTTGTAGATGTCTATGGGCTCCAGTAATCACTTAACACCAGGTGGGCTGTAAGCTTGTTTAAAAAACCGACGATAACCACACACTCTGAGGCGTATGCTCATCTGCCTATATTGTCGAAATGTTATTAAGCTTCAGCAACATGAATTCGGCCATCGATCCCCTCCGCCAGGGTCATACAGTCGTATCTCACCTCCTCCCCTAGTTCGCTGGCGACTCTCTGCGCCAGTCCGATGGCGGCCACGCGTCTCGGCTCCGACACAATGGCGGTCGACAACAAGGAGTTTTGCAACAACGCGATCGGCACTCGCGTGGACTTCCCACAGCCAGCTTCCCCCACAACCACAGTCACCCGGCTGGCTTCGACCGCCTCAGATATTTGCTTACTGCAATGCGTGGTAATACACTACTGTTGAAAAGTGTCTATAGCTATCTTTCGACCTGTCTTTTTTTTATAGCCCTTGTAGGCAGTCGAGCATACGGCCCACCTGATGGTGAATGCTTAGCGTCGCCCATGGACTTCAGCAATGCCATGGGCAGAGTCAAGCCGCTGCCTACCGTTAACCCACTAACTAGACCTACTTTCATATCCGATCCTGTGGACCGAATTGTAAACAGTCGACGTTGCCCTAAACACGTAATTTCGGATCCTCCCGACCCATTAACGGTGCTTTTAGGTACCTCAAGCACCGATCGCCGTCCTCGCCGAACCCGTCGAATGAGATTAAAGGTTCAGTGAGTAAATTAACTCACAGGGATAGCCCACCGAGTTTCTCGTCGGATCTTCTCAGTGGATAAGCGAAGCACTGCCCTTGCTAGGGCTATCGTTAGCAAATTCGCCAAACTGAGCCCTGTGAGCTCACCTACATGATAGATTAAGCTGGTATAACCCTTCGAGGTTACTAGGATAGACGGAGGGTTCGACAACACTCCGGTTTGAGACTCGTGAGCTCACCTACACGTCAAGAAGAAGCTGAAATAGCCTCTCAAGGCTATCAGCGTAGGTAGGACGAAAAAAAAAGACCTACTGTCTGATGGATCATCGCCTTAAACGCTTATTTTTGCCCGTGAAGGAAGAAAAAGTTCTCCACCGGTCGCAATCATTCACTTACGTATTCAATCTGACATACTAACACAGATATTAGACGTCCTAGTTAGTGAAAGTCAGCATTAGGTCAACGAAAACGTGAACCAGTGAAAGTGTATCCGTCATGATGACGTCACGCGACGCGAGTATTCCGACGTAAGCGCGACTGACGTAGTTAACAGTGTTGACTTATTCGACTGACTCGATGGTGCTGTGGTTAAGAGCCCCTGACTTTAGAGCCTAGGGTCGTTGACTCGATTCCCAAATCGGGCAAACATTCGTTTGGTGAACAGGCTTGTTTGATTTTTGTCTGGGTGTTTATTATCTATATATTTTTTTATTGTTTAGATGGTTGGACGAGCTTACAGCCCACCTGGTGTGGTGGTTACTGGAGCCCATAGACATCCACAACGTAAATGCGCCACCCATCTTGAGATATAAGTTCTAAGGTCTTAAGTATAGTTACGTTACAACGCCTGCCCCGTCCTTCAAACCGCAACGCATTACTGGTAGTTATCCGCGGCATAATGCGCTCTTGTGCTGTAATTGGAAAACTACCACTGTTTCACGGCAGAAATAGGCAGGATGGTGATACTTACCCGCGCGAGCTCACAAGAGGTCCTACCAACAGTAAAAATATATGTATATATTTAAACATATATGTGTGTATGTCAATCTCTGGTATCCACTACCACAGGCAATCTTAATTTTGGGCCGGATGACCGTGCGTGATTTGTTGCCATGTTAGAGGTTTATTTTGGAAAAGGATTTTCAATAAATTTGACATAACATATTTTTTTTATTCTTGCGCAAATGATTGAACCCACGGTTCATTTGGTGCGACAGAGATGAGGTCTAAGCCTTAATTGTATTGTCTAACGGCTACCCCATCCTTTAAATAGCAAGGCTTTAAAAGCAGAAATGTGCCCGATAGTCATAACCATATTTGCAGGATTACAATAAGCCCTACCACCGGTCAAACTAAACTTCAGATGTTCTGCCAATTGCCGAAATATTAAAAAATAAATAATAGTTTAAAAAAACTAAGAAAATACGCTTTTATAGAAAATCCGACTAAAAAATAGAAAATAATTTTTTTAGTTGAATTTCAATTTTTTCAATTTTTTTTTTCAATAATTATTAATATTTAATTCTCATCGGTCCTTAATAAGTATACCTAATTTCAAGTTAATCCGACGTTTTGAAGGTGTCAAAATCATGTTCAAAGACTCCTTTACAAACAAACATACATACGTCTGAAGCTAATAAAAGCGTATTAAAAAAGAGATATTATTTAAAATTCTAAAGTTCGGCAACCCTACCAGTGACGTTTCAAATAAAGTCGAACGTAAGCCGCGTCACGGATACAACGTGAATGATAGAGAAAGTTGAAATTCGCTTTCAACGTTCACTGTCGCTTTTATCATGACGTCACGTGAAAGACCGTGACGTAGACTAGACTCGTAAAGAAGAACATTTTTTTTATTTATTTTTTTATTGCTTAGATGTGTGGACGAGCTCACAGCCCACCTGGTGTTAAGTGGTTACTGGAGCCCATAGACATCTACAACGTAAATGCGCCACCCACCTTGAGATATAAGTTGTAAGGTCTCAGTATAGTTACAACGGCTGCCCCACCCTTCAAACCGAAACGCATTACTGCTTCACGGCAGAAATAGCCAGGGCGGTGGTACCTACCCGCGCGGACTCACAACAGGTCCTACCACCAGTAATTACGCAAATTATAATTTTGCGGGTTTGATTTTTATTACACGATGTTATTCCTTCATCGTGGAAGTCAATCGTGAACATTTGTTAAGTACGTATTTCATTAGAAAAATTGGTACCCGCCTGCGGGATTCGAATACCGGTACATCGCTCAACACGAATGCACCGGCGTCTTACCCCTTAGGCCACGACGACGAGAGAACATAGATTAAGTAAACTATAACAATATTTTTTGCTGTATTGGGCAAACGATTCAGAGATAGTAAATTCTAGTCGCTTATTATGGGCATCGACAATGCCAGGAGCACAAGCAAATCGCTCACCATGGCGACATAGAACTAACAACTCTCTACTGGTGGTAGGACCTCTTGTGAGTCCGCGCGGGTAGGTACCACCACCCCGCCTATTTCTGCCGTGAAGCAGTAATGCTTTTCGGTTTGAACGGTGCGACAGCCGTTGTAACTATACTGAGACCTTAGAACTTATATCTCAAGGTAAGTGGCGCATTTGGGTTGTAGATGTCTATGTGTTCCAGTAACCACTTAACACCAGGTGCGCTGTGAGCACGTCCATCCCTCTAAGCAATAAAAAAAAAACTTCAGTTTTGCCTTATTTGATTTTAACTTCAGTGTTGCCTTATTCGATCTTGGCGTCAGTGTTGCCTTGATTGTTACTTCAATGTTGCCTTATTTGATTTTAACTTCAGTATTGCCTTATTAGTTTTAGCTTCAGTGTCGCCTTGGATTATCTACTATACTTAATTGGATTATCTACTATACTTAATTTTAAATTCAGTGTTGGTTGCCTTATTTGATTTTAACTTTAGTGTTGCCTTATGTAATTTTAACTTCAGTGTTGCCTTATTTAATTTTAGTGTTGCCTAATTGGATTATCTACTGTAGTTAAAACTTCAGTATCAAGGTACATTTAGTGCGACAGTTTACAATTGACTGTGGAGTGACATAGCTACATTTGGCTGCAGGTACATTATGTCTGGAGACCGCGTGGGTGTCGCAGGCCGCCGCCAAACAGAGGTGCGGACGAGCCGGGAGAGTGCGACCGGGTATTTTGTTTATTTAAATTAATTGGTCGACACCAAACTAAATGTTAAAACTATAGTATTTTCCCTAAAGACTATTATGACCTTGTGTCTGTAACTTCGGAAATCGGTAACCACTTTAAGTCCACTCATCCACGCTGGAAGACACAAATCCGCATGATTCCGGATATTATTATCACGACCCGGTTCGAGGTCGGATGACGAGGTCAACAGTTTTAGGTCACGTGCTCAGACGACATAGACCCCGAGCAGTTCGCGACGAGGTCAGATACGGTTAATGGGTCGGGAGTGATCGCGACGAGGGCGGAGCACGATTATAAACTCTATGACGTCATCACCGATCGTTTCCAATGAGGCAAGATTTTTACGGAATTCCCCGTATGCACATTACCTTATCTCGAGTTTCCAACTCATTTACCTGTTGTGTCTTTATCTTTTCAGAATTTCTGTAAATAAAACGGCTGTCTGCAAGAGATCGCTTTTAGCGATAAAACCGCTTAGTGTAAAAATGTATCTACTTGTTGACTGTTTTAAAAAAATGCTAATTATGTTGTTTTTTTATTGCTTTGATGGGCGGACGAGCTCACAGCCCACCTGATGTTAAGTGATTACTGGAGCCATTAGACCTCTACAACGTAAAAGCGCCACCCACCTTGAGATATAAGTTCTAAGATCTCAGTATAGTTACAACGGCTGCCCTACCCTTCAGACCGAAACGTATTACTGCTTCACGGCAGAAATAGGCAGGGTGGTGGAATCTACCCGGGCGGACTCACAAGAGGTCCTACCACCAGTAAAGAACCAATAGTTTTAGTGTGCAATAAAAGTATATTCTCTCAATCTCTCTTTCTCTCATTTATCTCACTAATTGTATCATATAACTTGAATAAACGGACAAGTTCACCGCCCACCTGATGTTCTTGGACATCAACAACGTAAATTTCGCCGCCCACTTTGACACCCGTTCTATTTAATTAAGTCTCATGTTTACAGTACGGCTTTTTTTTCGGGCCGGGGCCGAACCTCCTACGAGGTCTCCGGGCCTAGGGCGTGCACGAGGTATGTGGGACTGGTCCACGACTGCGAGACCGCGGGCCCAAGGGTATTTTAGGGCCCTACCGCACTAAATGACTCTCCTGCACTCTTACATCCGACGTCCGATCTCCGTCCGGGGTCAGAACCCGGTCTGAGTAGGGGGTTCCCGCGGTCAACACTACAATCAGACTCGCGGCGTCATCCTAGAGTACAACGACTGCACCAAGCTTCAAAGTACTGCACAGTACAAACGGGCAGGGCGGTGGTACTTACCCGAGCGGGTTCACAGAGGCCCGTGATTATCTAAATTTTAATTTTTGTCGGTTTCATTTTTATTAAACGCTGCTCCTACACCGCGAGAGTCGTTCGTGAACATTTATAAAATCTGAATTTCACTAGAAAAATTAGTTCCTGCCTGCGGGATTCGAACACCGGCACTGTCGCATCGCTCGATACGATTACACCGGACGTCTTACCCTCTAGGCCACGACGACTTCTAATTATAGATGGAATTATTTAAGGGTATCTATGTTTTTGAAGTGAAAACTTCTTTAGAATTGTTGTGATTTCAAACCGAATGCAACGGAAAAAACGACAGGTAAGAGACACAAATACAAAAATGTGTAGGATGAAGCCAGCAAAGAATGAGACAGAAATATACATACTATTTAATACAGCGCCATCTGTGAGATTTTTTAATACTAACGTGTGTATGAAAGCTCTTGTAGTGAATTTTAATTTAGGATTATACGTGAAATTAAAATATCAATTCACAGAGGGCGCTACCTTACAATTATTTACTAATGACAAAATTTTACATATACTTAAGACGTTTAGGATAATTGTATTTTAATTTTGGAAGGTTTCACTTCTACCACGTGTGAATTGCACACATTTTGTTTTTTTATATTGAACGAGTTCCAATACTTCGGCGGTTTTGCAAGCGCCAAGATCGCGGGTAGCCCTACGTAGAGTATCTATGTAACTTCCATGACAGATGCTGATGTTGACAATGTTATTAGCTACATAATAATCAGGCCCGACGGCCTAACTATCTGATCAGTAGTAATTAGATCCATTCATGGCATTTAACACCAAAAAAACATAACAGTCAATAAATGATATGAAAAATTGTAGCTTATTCACTTACGCGTATCCGTCGATGGGCAAAGGAGTTTTCTCGGCGTCGTAAAGTTCAAATTTCCTTGTCAGAGTTCTCTCGCGTTTCGTTAATGTGTTTTCCGACGGCTCCGTTATGATCCTTCCGTACACGGGATGGACGTTGCTTTTTTGTTCTAATCGAAGATGGAAATAAAAAAAAAAAAAATTAATACTCTGGCAACATTTTAATTTTTTTAGTTCTCTATATTGTAACTATTTTTGGAAGCGGATTGGAGTCTTTTAGGGAAATATTCGGTTATTTAAAAAAAAAACAATTAGCTTGGTGTCAAATGAATTGGAGCTGGATGAAATTTATTGATGCTTCATCCAATCACCATCATCATCAACCTTCGGGAATCTAATGTAACCCAGATGTCCATGGGCTATTTGGACCAATCCCAGAAGCTCTGTCCAGAGCGTGGTCTCGTTCCGCTTGTAGTAAACAATTCACAAAAAAAAACGACTTACCAAAAATATCGTTGGTACAGTTCTCATTTTCGAAAACATTATCCGAGTAATCATCTGAAATAAAAACGTTAATAAAATGTATGTACATATCAACGCTTGAAAGGCAAACTTGACTAAGCGACAATTACTGCTTTGTACACAATTGATAGGCAATAACCATATTCGATGAGCAAAAAAATATATTTCTAGGTCTATTAAAATCATTTCAATACTACAGCTACTAGCTAGATTCTACTACAGCTAGATTCGTTAAAATAAAATTTTGTTTTCAGGTATTTCGACTTTAAATTAGTATACGGTAAAGTTCACGCATTGTCGCTTAGTCACGTTTGCCTTTCAAGCGTCGAATATGTATCGGCGCAACTTGCGCAACGGTTTAGGATGGTATGGACATGTGATGAGACGAAATGAAAATGAGGTTGGTAAGAAAATGTTAACTATGAATGTGGAAGGATATAGAGGAAGAGGTAGACCTAAGAAGAAATGGATGGATTGCGTGAAAGACGATATGGGTAAGAGGGGAGTGAGCGAAGAAATGGTATATGATAGATGAGTATGGAAGGAGATAACATGTTGCGCCGACCCCAGGTGACTGGGAGAAGGGCAGGATAATGATGATGACCGGCGCAACTCTATTATTTAGTTTCGTTTTCTCTATCATTCTGTCAGTCATGTCTACTTTAAATTATAGTACTTTAAGGTTGTTTTTTGATTAGCTTGTGTATCTGTATGCTGTACTATTTTGGCAAGAAGCGTATTGACCGTGCCTCAGACGATGCTGATGTTCATGGGCGACGGTAGCCACTCACCATCAAATCGGTCGTATGCTAGTGCGACGAAGGGCTCGACGAGTAAATTAACCCTCAGACACAGCCCACTGAGTTTCTCGCCGGATCTTCTCAGTGGGTCGCGTTTCCGATCCGGTGGTAGATTCTGCGAAGCACGGCTCTTGCTAGGGGCAGTGTTAGCAACGTCGTCAGGTTTGAGCCCCGCGAGCTCACCTACTAGTTAAGGTTCCGCTGATATAGTCTCTCAAGGCTATCAGCTTAGGTAGAAAAAAAAACTGACCTTCGTCTATGGTCGAATCTTTAGTCACAAGTGAGGTCTGCAGCAGCCTTTGCCTCGCTTCTTTGAAGGTCGCCTCGTATATTTCTTCTACAAAAAAAGCTTACTTTAGTATCTAAATATAAGCAACCAAATTTTGAATCATGAGCGTGCATTACGCACGTAAGTTATTTATTTACCATAAGCTGCTTCTGAGATTAGCATCCACAAACGCACAGACAAACAGACAAAAAATTCTAAAAATCATTATTTTGGGTTCCAATGCGAACATAAAGCCCTCTATAATAGTTTTCCGTACCAGTAAAAGTTAGTTGGATATAATAAATAATATAATAATGATACTTAATACCGCATATGCAGCAGCGTATCTATCATATATTCGAAAGCAATTTTTTTTTTTAATAAGGTCAGTTAGTCACTTGGGTGATGTAGATATATTTTTGGTTTGATTAGATTTGTGAATGTTCTTAGCTTGTTTGGTGTTGAATTATTACCAGAGTCAGTTAGACATCACAATGCCATGATTCACATTGTAATATGAAGTCTAAGGTCTAATATATAACAGCTGTTTCACCTTTCATGCCGAAACACATGACTGCTTTGTGGTAGCAATAGTTTACGGCTTTAAAATAGGTAATTGACAATTGTTAATTGTAATCAATTACATCCGTTCTCTGATGTATCATTTAATAGCCTCTTACAACACACATGAGAAGAGGTGGCCTGGTGCCATTAATGTTATGTGATTTTGAGTGATTACGAGATTCTGCAAATTTCACAATGTTAATACTGAATTATATAACCGTTAATACCATTGAAACTTGCAATTAAAATCTCAATTACATTTCATATGCCTGTTTAATAATAAGCTTGTTATCATCATGAACCTCTGACCTGTGACATCCAAATTCTGGGTAACAATATCTCCATGCGTTTTACTGCTTAGCAAATTAAATATAAACTAGATGATGATTTTTTTTTTATAACGCCATGCTGTGTCTTTAAAGCGGTTAGTTGCCCTCAATTAAGAAAAATAGTATTATTATTCGCCAATGGATGTCGGGAAGAGTTGATTATTGAAAACACGCATAAAACAACATTTTCTGAAAATAAATCGTAGCTAGATCGATTTATCACTCCCGAAATCCCCTGTATACTAAATTTTATGAAAATCGTTGGAGACGTTTCCGAGATTCAGATTATACATATAAATAAATAAATATATATATATTATACAAGAATTGCTCGTTTGAAGGTATAAGATAAAAAACTACAAAAAAAAAAACCTACTTATTCCACTCTCATAATCATTCCATATTTTGTCAATTCTCTCCATTGATTTATCGCTGATGGTAATCTGTATTGGTTCATTCAGATTACCCCTGATGTCATTTAATACGTCTCTGTCATATATTGGCGCTCCGTTCTCGTCTATTCGATTGTTGATGTACAGCCAATGCAGGGCCTTTGACGCTGCCTTCTCTGCGGCCAAACGTTTTGAAATGGCGGTGCTGTTGGATTGAAAAAAAAATCGGTTGTCTGTAAAGTCGGCTTACTGACGATAGTTGAACGTGACAACGTCATAAGAAAATACTGATGGAATGGTTTCATTTTTCAATTATCGCAATTATCGTTGCTATAAAGAATTAACACCACAACGCGGAGGCCGATTGTTCCTCTTTGTCGTTCGCTGCGCGCTTTCGCTTGCACTTCAAACCTTAAATGGAACGCCTCAGAGCGAGGTAACGCAGCATGAGTCATGTTTTTCGTGCATGCAGCCGGCTCCATCGAATTATAAGACGTTGTCACGTCAAAATATTTAACTTCTCAATTATAATTGAAGACATAAGTGGATGAAGGAATTAAGTACCATTTTTAAGATTTTTGAGTACATGAGTGAAGGTTTTATGTGCCTATAAACCATATTAGACCTTAATACCTTGGGATTAAAGGCTATTTTTAGAAATTTCATGTGATCAAGAAGTTATCTACCAAGAAAAAGTACAATAAACAACAAAAGTTTGTTGTCAGTTTTCTCAAAATTAACAAATTGTATGATATCCCCTTCATCTACTCATATTCAATTGTTAGTTAGTTAGGTGCATTAGTGGTACAATATTGGACAGCAATATTGATACAAATTACAATATGATCTCGAACACAAATATATAACAGCAAGACTTGTCTCCGGAATTTGAAAGATTACAGTAATTCTTCAGCAAACAACTTCTTACCTTTCAAATTTAACCTTCTCTGGCCAAACGAAAGCATATGTGCAGTTCCAATCGTTCTGTAACATTTTCTTCTTTTTCCCTTTCAGTGTCACTATGTTCTGTTTGTAAAACACTTCAAACGCTTTCTCTGGAGTCCTCGATTGTAATATATTAAGTGTTACACGAGGTTGCGGAAATATTTTTGATATTATATTGAGATCTGAAATCATTGATCAATATCTAGAATGTTCACACTTGTGCTTTCTTTTACAATGGATATGTGAGATGGGAAGAAGCTCTCACTGCCTACCTAGTATCAAATGATTACCAAAACCAACCAACATTGAGTCATATTTCTGAAGTCTTAATAGTATTATAGAAAGGCTATCCAAATTGGATAATAAAAGCAGCATTGAGGTAGCCACCCACAGCCACTTTTTGATCAAAACCTTAATAACTTCTAAAAAATCCTGAAAGTATTAAGCAATATCCTTCTTCTTCTTAGTCTCAACCTTCCCACTTGGTAGGGTCAGCACAGCAAATATTTCTATTCCATTCTCTTCTATCTGCCGTCATCTCAACACTCAATCTTCTCTTTCTCATATCGTCATTCAAATACTCCATCCATGTCTTCTTCGGTCTACCTGTTCTCCCTTGCACAACCATTTCGATACATCTCCCCTCAAGCATCACATTTCCATACTACACTAATCGTAACACTAAGCCATATACATGATACTATAACTCAAAAGGACCTTTATTATTACATATGCATATTCAGTACTATTTGTCAGCTTACTACTAAGATTCTTCAATTTTGAGCTAATGCTGGTGGTAATTTTAGGTGTCTAAGAGTCATAGACATATAGACAATTGGTCATAGTTCATTTATATTTGTAGTAGTAGTACTAAAAATAGTTTAAGTATTTATAATTGTACCTTTTTCTTCTTGAGCACTCTTCAAATTTTTTTCATCTCCACTCAATATGTTTGAAGATAATTTTCTGAGTGGGCAGTTGATTTTTAATTTATTGGCTTGTTTAAATATGTTTTTATTACTACTAAATATTGTGGTTTTCGCCAGTTTTTGAAAACCTGAAAATATATTTCACCATTAATTTTGTAATTTAAAATAAAATACAACTCAATATTGTGAAACCGAATTTGAATGTGAATATTATTTAGACATGAGAGTAGACACGCTATTTATATATCAACATTATTAATACAGCGGTGCAATAGTTAGAGTCCCTGATGGTGAGGGTCGTGGTTCCGATTCTTTAAGTAAAAATTATATGAAGAAAATATCTTGACTATGTAACTTAATGTAAAAAAAAGAAATGAGGATTTGTTCTGCTTTTCTTTTCCATTATTTGCCATTTAATAGACTCTTTAGGTATTAAAGAAAGCATTCCATAGAGTAGAGAAATTATTTTGACCAAAGAAAAAAGCATTACTATTTCTAAAATGGAAAGGTGCTTTGCTAAATTTGTTTTCCATTTTAGCTGGCAATGCTGCCAGCATCAAGCTTACTGTTTAATTTTTATATTCTTAGTTTTTTTTTAATTCAAACTTTTATTCTGCTGTGTAAACAAGTGATATTGAAATAATAGTCCTGGAGATGATGCAATGTAAGGAATATCGTCGTAAATTCCCTTCAATAGATACAATGATCAAAATTTTATTTGCTTCTATTAATGGACAATTTCATACACAGTTTTTATGAATAAATTATGACATAATTATTACTACTTACTGATATAACCCCGGTATCGCTGGCCGACATTATTAAGCAAGCTATCATAAAAGTTATATTTTGTCCAAATACTTGATCTAGTCACTGAACTCTTACACAAAAACATACTGAATTTTAATCGACTGCTCAATAAGATAATATTTTTCTTAATATTAGATACGTCTCTAACTTTTCTATGAACCTAACCTAAAATACAGTCTTAATTTATATTATCGTATTATTTAGGTTGAGAATTCAAATTGTTTATGCCAAACATAAGTTTTTGTAAACTTTATATTTTATCAAAATTCAGCTTATCAAGACAAACTTTCAAATAAATATTAAATAACTAAATTTATTTGTTTTGGAGAACAGCTTGTTAACTTTTTTATTAATATTTAAAGGCCTGGACCTTAGTGTTTTAGCCAGTTTGCATTTATACTTATTATATGACATATCACTAAACTTTGTTCTACGGCACTCGTTATAAAGTTCATGAGTCCCTTGCATAGCACGAATCTCCAGAATCGTAACTTTTCGGAATCGGAAACTGAGAGCAGATTTACATTTTTTTAAAGCATTAATGCGTCTATGAGCTCTCAGTCTATTAAAATTGTTATGGATAAACTAGAGTCCCAACTACGTCAAAACGTGAATTTGGCCTTAGCCAACCTTGAGGCATCATTTCGAAGTCTCAATGGTAATATAATATTTATAACGACTATCATTTAATTTTCTTTCAAATAGGGACTGATTTGCGGTAGAAATAGGCTGAATGGTAACAGCTATCCATGCATACTTGTAATATATCCTATTATTAGGAGTGTGGAGGGTAGAGGTAAGGAGAACCGTCTCTGTGTGTGAAAAAGTATCCGTTAAAATTTTCTAATTAAGGGTGGCGCTACAGTAGCAACCGGGTAAATTTTAAAAAAGGCGCTGGAAGTTATTAGAATAAGATAGAGAAATAAAAAAGGACTAAATAAAAAGAACTGCAAGCACTACAAAATCACAAAAAGTATTTTATTTAAAGCTGATAAGAAAATGCAATCGATGTCTCCACGTTTTACCACAATTTTTACCATTTACCAATTTTAGGTTACATTGACGAAATGAGTTTGGACTAAGTAAACATGTGAGGTCTGGTATATTACACTGTCACTAACTACTCTAGTCATTAAATATGTTAAATTTCCTAACTCAGCATACTTCAATCAGTTAACAACTGCTCAATTCATATAATATCCTGTGCCTATGCTAGCGCCATTCTGGAGGATTTTTTAACCGTTATTTAGTACTGAAAGTGGGACACTTTTTCAAGCTTCTCCCGTATAGACGGTTTTCCTTACCTCTACCCTCCATGATTAGGAGTAACACTTTCATCGAGGTAGCATTGTACAAAACTTGCATAATTTCCATCATGACTCATGCACGTGTGGTGTTCACGCGGCCCGCATATACTTAAGGTCACTCCAGGTCATTCAATTCACTTTTTGCAGAATGGCTGTTTTAGTTCGGTGGTAGGTATATAAGGAATATAGATCATCACTACGACCTCCATATAAAACCGATACGTATGTATTTGAAGAAAGCATCGGATCGGTTTTTTGAAAAAGCGGCGCATCACGATAACCCTCTTATCATGGCTGTCTCTAAGTACATGTCCGACTCTGGCGACAGGACAACGCAAACCCGCCGTTGTCCAAAACACGTCTTTTTTTTTATTGCTTAGATGGGTGGACGAGCTCACAGCCCACCTGGTGTTAAGTGGTTACTGGAGCCCATAGACATCTACAACGGAAATGCGCCACCCACCTTGAGATATAAGTTCTAAGGTCTCAGTATGGTTACAACGGCTGCCCCATCCTTCAAACCGAAACGCATTACTGCTTCACGGCAGAAATAGGCACGGTGGTGGTACCAACCCGTGCAGACTCACAAGAGGTCCTACCACCAGTAATTACGCAAGTTATAATTTTGCGGGTTTCATTTTTATTACACGATGTTATTTCTTCACCGTGGAAGTCAAACGTGAACATTTGTTAAGTACGTATTTCATTAGAAAAATTTATACCAGCCTGCGGGATTCGAACACCGTTGCATCGCTAGATACGAATGCACCGGACGTCTTATCCTTTAGACCACGACGACTTCAGGATCCTCGGATCCTCCCTATTCAATTTTGATGCTTTTAGCTTTAGCACTTTTAAAGCTCTCCAACCACTGGTTACCAGCCAAGAGTTCATCTGCAACCTAGCCCATCGACAAAACCCATTGAGTTTCTCGCCGGGTCTTTTCAGTAAGTCTTTACTGGTCACTAGGACAGCTAGGGAAAAAAGGGAAAATTGGAAGAAGGATGATATTTATCACCGAAAGAAAACTCAGCTCTAAATCGTCCGTATCATAATCTTGTATACATTTTAAACTAATAGTCTTTGCTGTGGATTGCGTATCTGCAATAATTTACAGGCGATTTTCGTGCATTTGTGAATAATATTTTATGATTATTTTGTTATGCGCGACACGTGCACGAAAGGGTAACAGAGATATTTCACAAATCTATTAGTCAAGGACAAAGAGCGTCTAACGCCAATGAGTGATTGATTCGAATTTAATAACAACTGCATTCAAATACTTGTAAATGAATACAATGAATTCGAAACGCTTACGTAATATATTTTGAAAAAAAAATCTTGATGGTCTTATATACAGATGTAGGTACATACCAATAGCTTTTATTACAGTGTGCTTAGTGCGAGTTTTGTCCATTCCCAATCGTGCGCACCGAATCGTAAACAGTCAACGTCGCGCAAAACACGTCATTTCGGATCCTCCCGATCCACTAACGGTGCTTTTAGGTACCACAAGCACCGGTCATCGTTCTCGTCGAACCCGTCACTTGCGACGAAGGGCTCGGCGAGTAAATTAATTCACAGACAAAGCTCACTGAGTTTCTCGCCGAATTTTCTCAGTGGGTCGCGTTTCTGATCCGTTAGTAGATTCTGCGATGCACTGCTCTTGCTAGGGTTAGTGTTGGCAACATCGTCAGGTTTGAGCCCTGTGAGCTCACCTACTGATTCGGTGAATCTAGAATTACCCTTCGAGGTTACTATAAGAATGCTATCTTTCTGGTCGTTCCCTCAATGCTGAGGATCGTGACTGCATGTCAATCTTCTCCACTCGGTCCGGTTCTGCGCCATATGTACCGCTCCCTGTATCTGGCTAAGGCTGGTAAGAATGCTATAAGGTAGGAAAACCAAGGGAGTTTTTTAAAACGTTCTCGATAGCGTAAAAGTTAACTCAAATTTGTAAGGAGTTGGAATTGGAAAGTTTGCCTACGTTTGCCGCTAGGGGCGCTGTCCCACCTGCATACAAATTTGAGATAACTTTTACGTTATCGAGAACGTTAAAAAACTCGCACTAAGCACACTGATGCCTGAATTGGCTATTATTTTAAATGAAGATAATTCATGAGGCGAAAGTATTATGTAATTATCAAATTATGTTAACAATAATATGGTACTTTAAGGGAGTTAATGAGATATCTATATATTAATACGTGAAGCAAAAACTTTGTATCCCTTTTTACGAAAATTGCGCGGTCGGAGGAGTATGAAATTTTCCACACTTATAGAGAATATAGAGAAGAAGTGCACAATGCTAATATTTTTTTAAAATAATGCATAAAAGATACATTAAATCAATAAAGAAAACATTACACACACTACATACCATGTATTTGACGCACACACGCATGCATACTATTTATTGTCAAACTTTTGTTCTTGACGTGTGTTGTCAAATTGAGAATAGATTAAATATTGTTTGTCTTTGTTAATATTTTTTATTGTGTAGTCTTGGCGAAATTTGTGATTATAGAAGTATAAAATACAATCATAATACTGTACAAACTTACAATTCCAATTAGTTATAGTCGAATTTCGACTACTGCGGGTCCTCTAGTAATTAAAAAACAACGATGAATCGAGAATTCGAAAATTTTAAGAAATGCTTCTATTCGTTCAAAAACTGCTTTTTTTATGGTCGAAGTATTACTGGTGGCCCGGAGGCCTTTTCAGTTTCACCAGGACAGGTGGGCGAGCAAAGGCTCAGCCAGGAGGGGTGGGATTTGCTAACAGCTGCCCGAGCGCCTCCGAAGGAGACTTAACAACTCAAGAGCAGCTGCTTTGCGAATGAATCTACTACCGGATCGGAATCGTGACCCGCTGAGAAGATCCGGCGAGAAACTCTGCGGGCTGATGCATGGGTTAGGTTGTACGTCGACCTCTTTGTCGAGTTCGACGAGTAAAACTGTTTGTATGTATGCCAGAGACGAATACATTATCCGAACGAATGTTTTCGTTGATGCTTCTTGTGCTACGAAATATTTTTACACAAAACAAAATTGAAACTTTACGTGAAATGCTTGATGTAGGTAAAACTTTTATTTGGACAGTTTTATTTTTTTATATTTTTATATTCTGCAAAATCAGAATAACACAAAGAATGCCATTAAAATAAAATTCTAATATAAATATTTTTTTAATAATGATAAAAATAAAAATTGGATACTAAAACTAAATTCAATTTTTCTTTGATTATCTATACCAGCCTTTCCCAAAGTGGGCGATAACGCCCTCTTGTGGGCGCTGCAGGCCTAAAGAGGGGCAGTAAGAGACCCAGAAAACAAAAAGGAAGCGTTCTGTAGAATCTTGGGAGGCGATTTGTAATTTCATCTATGAGGACTCTTAGACACCGACTGAGCTCTCACTATAGTGATTTTTAAGGAGGTGAAAAAATGAGAGCACTAAAAAATAATTTATTCTCAAAGTGGGCAGTAGACAAAATAAGTTTGAGAGCCTCTGATCTATACTTATAATATTATAAAGCTGAAGAGTTTGTTTGTCTGAACGCGCTAATCTCAGAAACTACTGGTCCGATTTAAAAAATTCTTTCAGTGTTAGATAGCCCATTTATCGAGGAAGGCTATATAAGGCTGTATAACATCACGCTAAGACCAATACAAGCTAAGCACCAATAAAGAATGTTTCATAATCGGGTGATTTTCCCTTTTGAGAGCTTCTGCTGCGTGCGCTACAGGAACTGCTAAGTTTCGCTAAAATAATGTATGACAGAATTGTTCCCCTTTAAAAGGTTTAAAAAAAGTCCGCGACAGCATATGGCATATGTTAAGGTTGACTCACTATAACGTTTTTTATGCTAGCCAAATTTGTTTTAAAATAAAGCATTATTTGTGAACTATTCCACGTGGACGACGTCGCGGGCAAAAGCTAGTAAATATTATATTATTATTATACGCGCTTCAGTGTCGTACCTAAAAACAAAACAAGTCTTTTTAAAAGCAATTCACTAATGAATTACGCATGTATAATAATGTTTTCAAGGTCTTTTGGTTGTTTCATTTAAGTTCAGCTAATTGTTTTAGAATTCGTTCTTAATAGGTCAGACATAACACGTTAATAACTCTAGTCATTCATCCAAATTAACAAATTCAATGATTGAATAAGTTTTAAGGTTAGAAAATCTGAAATTCAGATACGTGCTTTATCTATACTTCTATACTTATTACTTATAATAATATCTATATCTATACTAATATTATATAGAGGAAAGATTTGTTTGTTTGTTTGTTTCGAATAGGCTCCGAAACTACTGGACCGATTTGAAAAATTCTTTTTCCATTAGAAGCCGACATTGTCCCTGATGAACATAGGCTACTTTTTTTAAAAAAAAAATTATTTTATTTTTTTGGTTTCATGTGTGTTTTAATGTTTCCGAAGCGAAGCGAGGGCGGGTCGCTAGTAATAATAATAATAATAATAATAATATTATAAAGAGGAAAGATTTGTTTGTTTGTATTGAATAGGCTCCGAAACAACTGAACCGATTTGAAAAATTCTTTCACTGTTTGGAAGCTACACTATTCCAAAGTGACATAGGCTATAATCTTTTTTGTAAAAAATTAGGGATCCTAACTAAAACTCTAATAATGTAACCCAAGGTGTAAAAAAAGTACCTAAAATATTCATTATATCGCGTGCCCTGCGAAAACTATTCATGATAGAATAAACTAATGTACTACGACTTTGTAGAACACATTATTATTTACAAAAAGTGTCGCAACAGCATATGTCTAACTATTATAGTTATATCGCGATAAGTGTTCTTTTATTTTAAAAAATAAAACAACGTCAAATATCGTTGAAATTTTTGTTAAAGACCCGAGCGGAGCCGGAGCGGGCCGCTAGTTTTTAATATTTGGGCTATTTCAAGTTACTTGGTGTCTGTGACGCTATAACTTTTGCATGAGAGGATTCTAGCTTCACACACATTAGTTCTGCACCATGGATGTCGGTTTTAGGTCGACCCCGATTTCTTTTTTGGAGTCGCTCCTTTCACCGCACGCTTCTACTGGGTTTCTCTTTATCTTGATCGTCTCGTTGAGCTGATTTGTGAACCTGACTACTGCACCGGGGTTCTGGTTTAATTCCCGGACAGAGTCAGTAACTTTAAGGTTTTTGGCATTTGAGGTCATGGTGTACTCGATATTTTTATTTATTGCTTGATGGGTGGACGAGATCACGGCCCACTTCGTGTTAAGTGGTAGACATCTACGCCCTAAATACCGCCACTTACCTTGAGATATGAGTTCTAAGGTCTCAGTATAGTTACAACGGCTGCCCCATCCTTCAAACCGAAACGCATTACTGCTTGACATACTTAATTCATTACTGCTACGTATTTTTACTATAGGTAATACAAATTACACAAGCGAAAATCTTTTAAAACTGGTTCGGGGCCCCTCACTACATTTTTTATTACGTATTTGTATGACTGTTTGAAGTTAAAAATGACTTTTTTGTAACTGTTCGCATTGAATTATAACTGTGATTTTGAATAATTCTATAATTCGTTGAATCAACATTCAAATCCATCATGTGTTGACGCAAAAGTTGTTTAACTTGGATTTTTTTAAATGAAAGCGACTAAAGGTATAGTACCTAAAACAGTTTGATTTAATCTATAAACTTGAAGGATACATAAATATCAGTTAATATCATTGCTATCAAATTATAGTGACTCTTTGTAAGCCCTTCTGTTTACCCATTCTAACCGGCGCCATCTAGGCGGGCTCCGGATAGCCTGTCGACCGAGAGGGCTGGTGGTCGTGGCGCCGACGACCGTTGGTCCGGCGTCCCGAGGGGGAGGGTGATGGGAGAGATGTGCTCCGCACTAAACGCTTCACTTTCCCCCCTTTGCCTTTTCATGGGTTCTGTCTCATGCGGGGTTCGGACGCGGGTTGTTGAGCGACAGGAGGTTTTAGTCAGTTCGACTCCGACATGCCCCGCCTTCCATCCCCAGGGGAGGGCGGAAGTCAGGCGATTTCCTCCTGACCAAAAAAAAAAAAAAAAGCCCTTCTGTTTGCCGTAAGGTCAAGCGCGGACAACATTGTTGGCGAAACCATTGTGGTCATGATTAATAAGTACCTACCATGTTTTATGTTTCAATGCTGTTATTTAAGAAGCAAACAATATTAGATCACACATTCACAGTACAAATTAAGACCTACGCCTTTACTCATTTCAAAGAATGTAGATATATTTGCTATGTTCATAAAAAGATACAAATTCTTATGTGTAAAATATTGATAATAAGACAGGGTCAAGTGGAGACAACTCGTGAAGGCCCTATGTACCAGCGAGGTACCCTAGGAATACAACAATAACAACAACATTAATAGGCAGGCAACTGCTTGGCTCTGCCCCTGGCATTGCTGAAGTCCATGGGCGACGGTAACCACTCACCATCAGGTGGGCCGTATGCTCGTCGGCCTACAATGGTAATAAAAAAAAATTTTTTTTTTTGTCTTTAAGAGGAATGGGTCTTGATTGGACTTGAATAGATGTTGCTTTAATATAAAGTAGGTAGGTATTCTCACAAACATCTTTGTGTTTTGAATTGTTATTTTGTTCCCGTCATTATAAGTAAAATGTCGAATGAGTCTTGTGAGTCCGCACGGGTAGGTCCCACCGCCCCGCCTATTTCTGCCGTGAAGCAGTAATGTGTTTCGGTTTGAAGGGTGGGGCAGCCGTTGTGACAATACTGAGACCTTAGAACTATATCTCAAGGGGTGTGGTGTATTTACGTTGTAGATGTCTATGGGCTCCAGTAACCACTTAACACCAGGCGGGCTGTGAGCTCGTCCACACATCTAATATATAAAAAAAAATGAAATTTTCGCAATCGCATTTTTTTTCTACCTAAGCTGATGGTCTTGAGAGACCACTTCAGCGTAACCGGGCGAGTAGATCAGCTCTTGGGACTCATACCTGACGTTGTTGCTAACACGAACCCTACCAAGAGCCGTGCTTCGCAGAATCTACCACCGGGTCGGAAACGCGACCCACTGAGATGATCCGGTGAGAAACTCAGTTGGCTGTGTCTGTGGGTTAATTTACTCGTCGAGACCTTCATCGCAAGCGACGGGTTCGACGAGACCGATGACTGGACAGTCGCATAGATTTAATAATTAACCAATCATAATCTTGTTTTGTTTTTCTTGTCTTGGCGAATCTTGTTTTTCGAATGTAATTATTCGTGATATTTTCCGAAGAACACTTCGATCTCACTAACTATGGCATAGACTTGTCATTTTCCTTAAGCTATATTTAGTTTCATATCTCGAATACAACCTCCATACTGTTTTGACTATTTTGATGACGCGTAACAAAAACACTGGTTCCACAATTAACGTTCTTAAGTTTTAATCGAAATTAATAAAAAAAATATAATTAACAAAAAATTAATCGATCAGTATTTATTTAAAAAAAANTAGTTTCATATCTCGAATACAACCTCCATACTGTTTTGACTATTTTGATGACGCGTAACAAAAACACTGGTTCCACAATTAACGTTCTTAAGTTTTAATCGAAATTAATAAAAAAAATATAATTAACAAAAAATTAATCGATCAGTATTTATTTAAAAAAAAAAAACTAATATAAGCTTTATGACTTAGTACTTAGGGCGATATTAAAATTAAAAAAAAAAACATATCAATAGACAGTCGGTTTTGAATAAATACCACTAAATATCACAGTGGTGGTCGTTTTCTCCATTACGAAGTAAACAAAGGGCCTATTCGCGTGGAATGCGGGCGCCGAAATCCTATCGGTAAGAGTGGCCACGGTCGACGCAGAGGCCACTGTTCCCGATTCCGTGACCTCTATATCAGCTTTATGCACTATGGCCGACACGAATATATTCTCCTTTGTGATCCGCTGGAAGTTGGCTAAGTCTGGCTGGAATATGTCGTACACTCCCATATCGTTTAATGGCTTATTTAGGACGACGTTAGTGCTGATTTGGAACCTTGGTAGTTTCACGTCGACGTCTTCCAAGCCGAAATCGTCTACGTCCTTCTGAAGCTGCTTGAAGACATCCTTGAGATTGACATCTGCGAAGTTCTTGTACATGTCTGCGATCTTCGTTCTCGGGTGCGGGAGTATGACCAGCATCGAGTACTTTCCGTCGGTGCCGTAAGGAAGTTCCAGTACGAAGGCTTTAAGCTTCTTTAGGTTTGAGAACGGGAACTGCCCCTTCTGGTACATCATGTTTACGCTGCCTATTACCAGTCGGTCTTCATTATAGAAGGGCTCCAGTTCGGTGTCAGATTTGTTGAACGGCAATCCCCAAAGGCCTTTGAAGGATATCACGTTGGTTAGTATCAATCTTGATTCTTGGAAGTCGTCAGAGCGCAGAACGTTCGAGACGCGTCCCCCGGATTTTTCGATGTAGGTGTTGGCTATTCGAGCCGAATTCGGGTCGCTGAAGTCGAGCACTTTAATCGAAGCACCGAAATCCTTCTGGAGCGTCGTCCTGAAGGCCGGCAACAAGGTGAAATCGTTGTCCAAGAAGACAAAGTTCCGACTGACCAGGGATACTCCGTTCGCGGTCTGATCGAGCACCACGTCCGTCAGGGATTTGTACCCTTCGATCAGCGTTGCCGGATTTTTGGGCAAAATAAACGCTCTGCTCAGCTGCCTGTAGCTATTACCGGACGCTCCTAAAGCGATTCCCGTCATCAAAGTCCATATCCCAAACGGCGAGATCACAACGTGCCCATCAGTCTGAGTCTGCGTGTGGTACAATAGTTCAATGCTAAAATTCCTTGGTCTCTCGCTGAAATCGACATCACAATAACACGCGCCGACGAAAAAAAGAACGAACGCGATTGAATACATCCTGCACTGATCACGTCCAGCGCGATACTGAACCCGATACTTGCGTGGTGCAAACAACTTGTATAATTTATACGTGTTAATCTTTATTAGACGTGCAAGTAAAACGCGAGCTTATATTAAGGACAATAAGATGTAGTTTTGATTTGTTCTTGTGCAGACAAGATGTATCGTGTAACGAGAAGTCGACAAACCTGTTTTGATTTTTTGTTTTTTTATTTATTTAGTGCTCATTGATTATAAATGTAGCTTATTTCGTGGCTTATCTTGTAGGGCTGTCCATAGATTATACACTTAATATTTGGGGCTGTCGATGGGCTACCGTTAAAGCCTAAATTCTAATTGACTTACTAGCTCTACGGGTGGACGATGTTAATCATGTTGTCAAATACAAACTAATTTACTATCATTTTACTAGAATTCAACCTAGGTAGGCCTGGGTCTGAAAAATAGGAATCCATTATTTTTTTTTCAATTTATTTAGTCAACGTTATTTCCTGTTTCAACTGATTTAGCTCACAAACAAAAAAAAATCACGAGAGCGGGAATCCAATTTTCCCGCTTCAATTAATACAAAAGTATTTGATTTAAACACGTTTGTTTCGACTTATTTATATTTAGTTACATGATGGATTTGCTGTCAATTTTTAGCGCAAAAAATTCCCCGCACCGCTCGGTAATTCTCTGCGCGCAAATATGTACACATAGGTCGGTAGGTACCTATTTTTACGGCATTTTACTGAAAAATATTGTACTGCTTATGATCTCACACCCGACCCAAGTGATGGGGCAATGGAAGGCCGCCGTCGCCCGTAATATTATTATAATCCCCAGATGCGCTCTCGATACTTTTACGCTATTCAAGCACCGGTCAATTTCTTTTTTTTTTTGTCCTACCTAAGCTGATAGCCTTGAGAAGCTATTTAAGCGTAACCTTAACTAGTAGGTGAGCTCACGGGGCTCAAGCCGGAGTGATGCTAACACTGGCCCTAGCAAAAGCAGCGCTTCGCAGAATCTACCACCGGATCGGAAACGCGACCCACTGAGAAGATCCGGCGAGAAACTTGGGCTGTGTCTATGGGTTAATTCACTCGTCGAGCCCTTCGTCGCAAGCGACTGGTTCGACGAGGACGGGCCCGCTCACCATTCTCATCGAACTCGTCGATTACGGCGAAGATACTAAACCATAGACAGAGCCCAAGAGTTTTTTTTTATTGCTTAGTTGGGTGGACGAGCTCACAGCCCACCTTGTGTTAAGTGGTTACTGGAGCCCATAGACATCCACAACGTAAATGCGCCACCCACCTTGAGATATAAGTTCTAAGGTCTCACGTATAGTTACAACGGCTTCCCCACCCTTCAAACCGAAACGCATTACTGCTTCAGGGCAGAAATAGGCAGGGCGGTGGTACCTACCCGCGCGGAATCACAAGAGGTCCTACCACCAGTTCAACCTGAGAGAATTTGGCGAGTAGCTGGAACAGGATATCAGCGAATAAGTTGAGTATAAAAAAACAAATATGGTTCCGAGTCATTAATAAAAACGTTCATTGCAACAATACGAATTGATTATAATGAAGAGAACAATCTATATTATATTAATACGTGAAGCAAAAACTTTGTATCCCTTTTTACAAAAATTGCGCGGATAGAGGAGTATGAAATTTTCCACACTTATAGAGAATATAGAGAAGAAGTGCACAATGCTAATATTTTTTTAAAATAATACTTATAAGATACATTAAATCAATAAAGAAAACATTACACACACTACATACCATGTATTTGACGCACACACGCATGCATACTATTTATTGTCAAACTTTTGTTCTTGACGTCTGTTGTCAAATTGAGAATAGAATATGTTTTGTCTTTGTTAATATTTTTTATAGTGTAGTCTTGGCGAAATTTGTGAATAAAAAAGTATAAAATACAATCATATTAGTGTACAAACTTACAATTCCAATTAATTATAGTCGAATTTCGACTATTGCGGGACTTCTAGTTCTAACAATAACACGAGTCAAACAGTTAGCATTTGAAATGTTACTTGTGCATCAAAATAGTTACAGAAAGAAAGAAAATCTTTATTCGCCAGAAATATAGTTTATAAGATATAGGACATAGCTTCATATATTTCGCCTGTTTAGGCATGCGAAAATTTAATTTATCATACTTTTGGTTGATATTTTAGTATTCAAATATTCAAATCGAGTCAATGAGTAAACATGTTTTTCGACACACCTTTACGATTGCAAATCCTATAGACAGTTTAATCTGAAATGGCGATAGGCAATCGCAAGCAAGAGGGGTCGTCGTACCCCCTGACGGGGGCACGGAACGGGCCTCGGGGCAAAGCCCACTGCCCGGAACGAAGCTCCCTGCCACACAGGGCAGGGGTGATGTGGGTGCAGGACGATGAAATAGGGAGGGCTGTTCGCAGCGCGTACGGCTGCATGGCATCGACAAAATATAAATACATATATATAATACGATGGGCTGGTCTAGTGACGGCTCGATGCCCACGGAGGAGTCACCCCGGCGCCGGCTGCTGTCCTCTGCTTCCTAATCGGCAATCGCGTCAACGCTCGCAAGTGTTAGCGACTCCTAGACACTGCTCTGCTGCGTTTAGAGGTGGCTTCCGTTACTTGGCTTCTAAATGTTGAGAACACTAAAGTTCTTTTAAAGCAAATTTAAAAGTATATCTTCTGAACATTCTATTTCTGGAAAGCCATTATGAATAATCACAGCGGGTCATGTCATGTCAGCGGGGATGTTAAAAATGAGATGTAGGATCTCGAACTCTTGTGAATCCGCACGGGTAGGTATCAACCACCACCCTGCCTATTTCTGCCGTGAAGCAGTAATGCGTTTCGGTTTGAAGGGCGGGGCAGCCGTTGTAACTATACTTCAGATCTTAGAACTTATATCTCAAGGTGGGTGGAGCATTTACGTTGTAGATGTCTATGGGCTCCAGTAGCCACTTAACACCAGGTGGGCTGTGAGTTCGTCCACGCACCCATCCACGTGGCCACGACGACTTCAAACATAGTTTTAAGTTGTACTTTTGGTAGAACTTTTGTTTATCACGAACCCCAGCGCGTAACAATACATTATGAAATATTACATGAATATTTCGTGGCGTCGCAAAAAGCGGCAAAAGCCAAAAAATCTTCGCCTATTTTTTAAAACATCATAAATTTATTATTAAACCACATTATGAATACTAACCTTTGTAATTAAGCGTGGAAAATCCCAAATGAATTCACGATAAATACGTAATTGGAAAGAAATTCAGAACGCAGTTTTTTACCTTGTGAAAGTTACAAATGTTATTTTGGTTTTCCTCATGCATACGCACATACGTACTTTTGCGAAGTCGTCGTGGCCTAACGGATAAGACGTCCGATGCATTCGTGTTGAGCGATGCGCCGGTGTTCGAATCTCAGGCGGGTACCAATTTTTCTAATGAAATACGTACTCAACAAATGTTCACGATTGACTTCCACGATGAAGGAATAACATCATGTAATAAAAATGAAACCCGCAAAATTATAATTTGCGTAATTACTGGTGGGTAGGACCTCTTGTGAGTCCGCACGGGTAGGTACCACCACCCTGCCTATTTCTGCCGTGAAGCAGTAATGCGTTTCGGTTTGAAGGGTGGGGCAGCCGTTGTAACTATACTGAGACC